TTATTTTTGGGGTTTGGATGCCGCGCGGAGTCTGAGCTCGGTCTGGAATTTGCTACGCTTGTCTTTTTCCCCCGAATCCTTTCATTATGGGTAGAGAGAGTCGCGCTCGAGTCTGTTTTGTGATCCCCCTTTATAAGAGTTAATCAGAAAAGTATGGACACAAACTCCTGAGCCAAATGCAATTTTACAAGGCAAATAAGTAGGTTTTATTCAGGTTTCTTTTACATTTTTGTGACCTTTGAAATTATTACAGAAATCGACCTTGGTTCCAAATGGCACTTCACGGGGTGATTTAGCGAGCAGCCCTCTGCCCCCGACCGCAGCTCCACGGCCTAGGTGCGGCCCCTGCCGCTGAAACTCTCACCTTGTTTTAAAATTCTGGGTGGAGGAGAGGCGTGTGGCCTTTCCCTGTGCTCTGGTGACATGAGTGCTGCTGTGGAATGTAACCGTGTGATTAAAATCCAATCTCATGGAGGGTTAGCAACAGGGGAGTGGGAGGAGGAGAAGGGGGGAGAAGGGGGGAGAAGGTACAGAGAATAAGTAGCATAGATGGTAGGTAGCAAATAGGGAGAGGGCAAGAATAGTATGGGAAATATAGAATCTAAAGAACTTGAGACACGTGGTCATAAACTAAAGGGGGGAAGGGTGGGGGTGGGGGGTGCAGGGTGGAGGGGAATGAAGGGGGGAAATAGAACTGTAATGGCATAATCAATAAAATCAAATAAAATTTTTTTAAAAATCCAATCTAAACAGGCAACCATTCCAAATATTCTGGGGCAGCAAAATCAGTCAAACCTCACTGGACCCTTACGAAAGAAAGCACCCCCCTCCTGCATTATTTCCTCCTGTTGGTTATGATGTCTGTTACTTCTTTGAAATAAAAGGTTGCTTCTGACATCACTCGATGGAAACGTTTCTAGGCGTCACGGCAGACGTGAGCGGTGAGTCCCCTGCTGGTGGGCCATCCAATATTGTGCCATGTCGGGTCATGGAGCTTCCCCACCGGCTCTGGAATCCGGGACCTAAGGGCCTCGTGGGAAAGGGGATTTCGGGAGGCAGGGAGGTGCCAGCAGTGGGCTGTAGGGGGCAGCACACACACAGTTCCCGTTGAACCGGGTGTGGATGGAGGCACAGAGGCTTCTCTGGTGAATGTCCTCGGTGCGTCTCTGGCTGCTCTGGGCTGTGGCTGCACCTTAAGTCCCTCGCAGAAGGACCCGTCACGCGTGTGCTTTAGGGACGTGACCGTGCACACTGCATGCCTCAGTCGCAGCCGAGTTCGTGTTCTCTTTTATCCCTTCTCCCCACACTTCTTCATGTTTAAAGGCATGTTTGAAAGTAAGCCACCAGCCTGCCAATAAATTCGTGAGAAAGGAGGATGGATACAGGCATGATTCGTAGCTGTTGTGAGTTGATTGGTCCACACGATGGGTCCCAGGCACCGTGTGCTGCCCGAGGCTCGTGGGCCTGGCTCTGGGCTCTCCCAGGGGTCAGGGAATCCTCGCAAGTAGGTCCTGGGGTTGCTTGTCCTTCTGTTCCTGTGCCTGCCACACGCCTGGCACATGGTAGGCACACGATGAATTTTTGTGGACTTGCACTTTTCAGAATTGAATCTGAAGACAAAAGCCGTGGTACCGTCCTGGTTTTCCCATGGACTGGCTGTGTCCTCAGGCTGCTTCCGGACGTCCACGCCCTCTGCTCTGGAGCGGGGCTCCATCTGGGTCTGGAGCGGCGGGTGCCCAGCAGAGCACCGTGAAGTGCTTAGTGGTTGCTGATTTGTGTTGGCTGCGTAGTAAGTTCATTGGCAGGATCACCCAACTAGAGAGGGCCTACATCAGTTCTCCAAGGGCAGCTCAGCTCATCCGGGGACTCGACTGTGCATGCCTGTGCTCGCCTGTGTACAAGCGACGTCTGTTTTCTTTCATTCCCAGGTACATCCTCTCTCTAGCATTCCTCACAGTTTGACCAGTTTTTTTTTTACTGAATGAAACATACAGGTGGGAGCAATGGCCCAGAGGCCGAGTCCACGCCGCTGTTTTGTGGGTGTGCAGACCGAAGGCCGGACGAGCCGTCCCAGCCGTTTGGTGGCAGCGGTGGCCCGAGGGTCACGGTTGCCATTTGATTGCGTTTTCCATGTCAGGCATCTCCAGGTGTCGTTGGCAGATCTTGGGATAAACATTAGAGGAGGTACCAAAATAGCTAAATTTGAGAGGGGCGTGGGCAAAAAAACCTTCTTCTTGTCCTCACGCAGTTGTTCCAGGGGAGCTGTTCTTGTGCGCCGTTTTCTTGCACCTGACTCGGCCCCGCCTCGTCTTTCTCTGCCAGTGTCCTGCACCAGCGAGCCCTCGCCTGGTCAGCCGGCACAGTGGACGCCGGGGGGGGGGGCACCGCTACACAGCCCTGGGGGGAAGGAGGGACCGGGGCTGCGGCGCTGTCAGAACCCCGAGCCCCGCCTCCAGCCGCCCAGTTTTCCTCCAGACTTTCCATGGAGACATAAGGGGACACGTCAGACAGTTTTGAGGACAGTTCGGGATCAGGAAAAGTGCCCTAAAAGGGGTGACACTTGAGATGTTAAAGAAGGAATAGAAATCAGATTAAAGGGCTGTGTAGGGACTTTCTAGGCAGAGCTTACCGCTCGAGTCAAAGTGGGAAAGGAAGGAACAGCAGAAAGTAAAGAACAGGTGCGTTTCTACTCAGAGCTTAAAGTGTGACGCACAGAGGGTGGGAGGTGAAGTTGGGGGCCTGGGGCCAAACATTGGCCAAGTCGAGAGCTTCCCCTTAATACTCACGCTGTGGAGCTTGTAGCAGGTTTTTTAATGGGGAAGGGAGAGGCTCAGACGCTGCTTTTACACAGATCAGTCGAACAGCTTTGTAGAGAGTGCTTGTCTTTGTTACTATGGTTGCACGACAAGTCCCACAGAAACCCAGCAGCTGGAACAACACAGGCTGCCCTCTCACAGTTGGCCTGGGTGCAGGAGCCCGGGCATGGCCAGCTGGGCTCTCGGGCCCAGGGTCCCTCCCACGCCGGTGATCGAGGTGTCAGCCAGGGCTCATTTCGGGGAGAACTCACTTCCAAGGTCACTGATGGTTGTTGACGGTGTTGGGTTTCCGTTGGCCTCCTGGACGGAGGGTCTCACACTTCCTGTCCAGAGCATCCCCCAGCTCCTTGCCCTGGGCACCCCCATAAGACAGCTCACAGCACGGCAGCCATGAGCCTGTGGGCGAGAAAGCAAGAGAGGAGGGTGGACGAGATGGAAGCCGGCGTGTTTAACCTCATCTTAGGAGTGACATCTCGTCACTGTCACCATACTCATCAGCAGCAAGTCGCTGACTGGTCCAACCCACACCCCAGGGGGAGAGTTCACACACGCGCATGAATCCTGGGGTGCAGGGGCCGTGGGAGTCCATCTCACGGTGGACTCGAGATAAGACCAGAGCGAGGGAGCCCGAGGGGCTGATCGATACCCCGGTTAAGGTGGAGAGAACGTTGTAGATGTGCGTGATGGAGGGAAGGGCAGGGGATGAGTCGCGTCGTGAGAACTGGGTGGCTTAGAGCCACAGGGGTTTTAAGGGAGAAGAGGGAATTCAGGGTGCCGTGGGATTGATTATCCTTGGCTCTTAAATCACTGCCTGATTGAAGAATATTTTCACTCGAGTGGGACTTAAACCCCTGCCCACACTGAGCTTTCCATCTTTGTATGCCGCCCTGCAACTTCACAGACTTCAGTCTTCAAGGCCGGTCCTTGACGTGCCTTCACTGCGCCCAGTGACACAGCAGCCGCTCCTCTGAATGTCTGTTTAATTTTCCTCTTCGTCTCTGCTGTTAACCTGCCCCAAGTCCTTCGCACTGAGCACTTGAAGTAAGGTAGTGTTCTCCTGATTCCTCCCCCAGGGCGTTTTTCTTTCTTTAATCCAGATTCTAAAACATCCACTATCTGTGTGTAATCTTTCATTCATTTAACTAACAGGTATTTATTTATTGTGGGCTCTGTAAGACACACTTCAGTGTCACCTTCCTGGAAAGGTGCACGCTCCTTTTCTCTCTGTCTCCTGCAGCCGAACTCAGGAGGGGGTTTCCTTTGGAAACGTTGAGACTCTGCAGGTTTAGAAGAGAGCCCTGCCTTAAACCCTTTAGTGTCCCGAAGCCGTGTCCGACCGCCCCACGAAGTCCCCTGGGGCGGCGCCTTATCGCCCCACCTCTCGGGGACATCGCAGCCTCCCCTGAAGGTTCTGATTCGCCTGTCAGAACCGAAAGCAAACAAGACATACGGTGGATCCGGTGTGTTGCCAGTGTAGGAGACCTGCATTCCAGCCCGCTCTCCATCCACTGTTGTCCGCACTGTCCGGGTGCAGTTAATCAGCTCAGCAGCCGAGGCAGCCGTCCTGGGGACTGACGGAGGACCGGCCCCCGGGTACACGCAGCGTCCTGGGCCCTGTCACTGCAGGCGCCGAGTCACCAGGTCGGTGGTTATGTCCGGGCTTCCGTGTGGCGTGGTCATGAAAGAAGACACATGTCACTGGGTTGGAGAGACATTAAACAGCTGGACTCACATGCACCGCATCAGGTTTCTTGTATTTTCCGTAACAGTGGTCTTCAGCCAGATGTGTGAAATACTTGATAATTGTTAAGGACCGGTTGGCTGGCCATGATACACTTTATAGATTACCTTGGACCGTCCTAGCCATCTGAAGTCTAATTTATTTTTATTTTTTATTACTTTTTTGAAGTCTGTTTTAAATAATAATCGAATGCTTGTTTAGATTTGCAGATGCTGCTGAACTATTCAGTGGTGTAAGTTTAGTATATTGTACATTGATGCATTTATCCAGCTCTTTTATTTCAGGTAATAATTTATTGATCACATGTTAAACTTGGAACAATGACTGGGTTCTTTCCCCTCACATTATTCTGATAAATCCCATTACACTTCAGTCCAGGGAGGTCGTTCTCACTGTGTTGCAGAATGTGGCTTTAATAAACTCCATGTCTTCTTTCTCTTTAGTGTTATTCCTCTGTTAAAAGAGTCCGTTGGGATATTAATGCAGAGAACGCCTCCTGTTCTGGAAGACACCCTGCCTCAGTGCTATCAGAGGGTAAGTGTCCCACTTCCACCCCACTGGGCTGCACGGTGCTTCCCAGCTGCCAGTGCTCTCGACTTTGGGGACCGGGTCGCCCGCGTGCACAGCCGAGTCCTGCTCCGGGACGGCTCACTGCACGTGAGCACCGCTTACGGGGACCGGGGTAGGGTCCAGGGAACCAGGTGGGGCTCTGCAGCCAGACGCGCAGAGCTCGTCTTCGCCCGGAAACCCAGCGGGTCTTTTAAACACGCAGAGACGAGTGGCAGACGACAGAGCGTCTGCTCGGTTTTCTTCTTTGAACTGCCACAGCCCCCTGAGGTGCTGGGGGGGGCGACGGTGCGGGTGACGGACTGCGTCTCTGCTCTCGAAGGGCTGCGCCTCATGGGAAACGCGGGCCCTGGAGAAGGAGGCAGTGAGTGAAGTGTCCGTGATGATAACGCTGCGACAGCATGAGGCGCAGTGGTGGACATGAAAGGCGCCTCCGGTTTACTGCGGGGGTCACAGTCAGGGGCCTTGAGACCCCGATGGCTGCACAGAGCCGGGCGCGTGAGACCCCTGGGGAGAGTGTTCCAGGCAGAGGAGCGCGGCGGTGCCGAAGTGCCGTGGGGGGACCGGGAAAACACGCCACGGGGCTGCAGCGTCGCACCGAGGGGGGGCGGTGGGGAGGCCGGAGGCAGAGGCAGGCCCGGGCGGTCACACCCGGGCCTGGGCCCTGCCCAGAGGTTGGGATGCAGTTCTGATGAAGTGGGAACAGCAGAACGCTTCCAGGCAAGAAGAGCGGTGTACAGCATTTTAAAGTGTCCCCGCAATTATCCTGCTTGCTGTTCGAAAACGGGTTCTGGAAGGAACGCAGAGCAAACCAGGCTGTGGTGGTTTTCAGGGCGTCGCGGCTTGGCAGGCTGCTGTCATCTGAGCAGGCCCCTGGGACTCCGGGGGTCTCGGGGAGGGGGGAGACAAGGGGCCGTTTGGATGCATTCCGGGGCCAGTGTGTCTGCGGGGGCAGAGGAAAGGCATCCACTGGCACCCCCGGTGCCGCTGGTCCCGACGGAGGCCAAGTCGCTGCAGGCTTGAGGACAGAAACGCCCCCAGATCTGGGGCTCAGTGCTGGGCCCGTGAGGGTTGAAATGCCGGCCGTGCTGCTGGGGGGCCGGGCAGGTGAGTGGTCGGTAGGCACACTTGGCGTTTCAGGGGCAGAGGAGGACCGCAGGGGTTTGCGTCATCAGTAGTCAGTGGATTTAAGACACTAGGGCTGTAGCTCCAGGTTCGGGCCCAGGTGGGGAGCCAGGACGGGCAGTGTGCACGGTTCTGGAGCCCGGTTGGTACTGAGGGGACCCCTCACTGAGCGAGGGGCACTGGTGACGTAATCCTGAAGGGGTGAGGGACGGAGGGCCGTTCTGGAGCAGGGCAGAGGGACAGGCCCACAACACTCCGGTGTGACTCCTGTGGGGACCCTGGGGTTGTGTCCTCTGGGGAAGGGGGGATGTGTTCCCACGGGTCGGGGTTGATGGGCGGGTTTGGGGACAGGAGAAGGGGTTTTCTGGGTGCCTCTGTTTTCTCGAGGATTTATTAGGCAGTGTTGTGCAGAGACATGAGGGGCCAGCAGAGAAAGAAGGGGTAAGATGGACTTTGGGGTCTGGGAAGCACGGCGAGGCCCGTTGGGGACAGGAGCAGCCGGCCGCCTGTGGGGGAGAAAGGGCCCCGCACCGACGGCCTCCCGCAGACCCGCCCGGCACGGAGCGACGTCTGTAGATGGTGTCTGTTCTTACCCGTGCCCACTCCGGGCACAGTGCACACTCGGAGGTCATGCTGTCCCTCTGCCAAGGCCTCAGGTGCCAGGGGCTGAGCCGGGATTCCCACCCTCCGCACTCCGACTCTGCAGCTCCCACACCCGCTCCTGCCACGTGTCCGGGCCAGAGCCGCAGCCCAGGTCTCCACCTGCAGCCCCACTTGCCCACGGTCCTCACGTGAGCAGAGGCGAAGCCCGTCTGTGCCTTGGGGTGACTGCATCCTTCCCTGTGGACCCCTTCTGAGGATGTAGGGACCTGTGTGGCGAGGTGGCCGCTGCACTCACGGGGAGACCGTTCCATGGCCATGGCAGTGAGGAAGCAGAGGACGTGAGGTCCCAACACTGTGGTCCGTCCCCAGGGGAAGGGGACGTCTGCCCTGACCGCCGCCCCGGGAAGGGCAGTGCCCAGGAAGGGCACGGTGGGCTTTGTCTCCCGTCTCCCACCCACTGCCCTGGAATCTAGAACATGAGGCCTCCGTTCATCAAATTCTGATAAAAATAAGTATTTTTATAGACACAAGTTCAATTTTACCTTCATTACCAACCCAAGTACATTACTTACCGGAGAATCACAGGATCCAAAAAGATCTCACTGTTCTTTTGGTCTGGACTTCTGTCTGGTTGCAAGACTCCCCTCTGTGACCTCTGGGTGGTCATCCAGCTCCGCGACCGTTCCCAGGGGCCGTGGCGAACCCCCCCACCCCGAGTAGCCTCTGTCCTGTGTTAAGCTGCTGTAGTCCTGACGAAGCGCTGTTTCCCTGAGCGGAGCCTTTCTTTTAACCTCTGGGCACTGGCCGATGGCAGTCTGTCCCCTCCCGGTCTGTGCGGAGAGAGTGAGCCGTCACCCTGGCGATTCGGGCGTCTGTTTCCTGACCCTCAGGGGACCCACCTGACGTCTCTTCTGTAAATACTTCCTGTACGTTTTGGTAGATGGCTTTATTAAGGAAGCATCCTTCTAATCACTTTTCCCCTAATCATAACTAGGTGTTGAATTACAGTGTTTTTATTGAAAGGACTATGCTTCTTCCTCTTTATTATCGAAGAACAGTAATAGTTTCTGATATCCGTTCTTTCCCTTTGGGGATAAATGCAGCTTGGTCACGATATGTTATTTATTTTTAATTTACTGTTAGATTTAGCTTATGGGGGCAACCAGCCGATGATTTACTGTCTCTGTCTGGTTGGGGAAGGGGTCAAGATTAGTTCTCACTAATATGAAGTCCACGAATTGAATGAATGGGCCATTTCTTATTAATAAAATCCTTCCTATTTTCTGTAAAAACTAAGGCAGAGGTCACATGTTCCTCAGATGTTTGCCCTCTGGGACTGGAGCTTTATGAAAGAAAAATTTTATTTCCTTTTCAATTCTCAGGGATCCTTGCCCATTTTCTCTTTTTGTTGTTTTCTGTATATCCAGAAATTCATCCACTTTGTCTAGGTTTTCAAAGTTTGGGGGTTTTGTTGTTGTTTTTTGTTTGTTCCTATTTTACTTTTTCCAGCTTTAGTAGAAACGATAAATGAAAATTGTAAGTGTTTTAAGGAGAACAGTGGGATGTTCCAATCCACATGTGCCAACGCGGAACGTTCCGTGAACTGGCGTGTCCTCCTCGTGCAGGGACCGCGCTAACCTCTGCGTCGTTCCAGTCCAGTGTATGTGCCCCGCAGGCGAGCCCCAGGGTGGGGTTTTCACCCACTTACGTGTTTACGGTAGACTTCGTGCCACTCAGGCCGGGCGCTGTCTGGGGTGCTGAGGATACAAATGAGAAAGAACAAGAGTAAGCCCCTGCCTTGTCAAGCTTGAGTTCTGCCGGAGCAGACAGACAACAAGCAACGTAAGGGACATAAATGCATACTGTTCCGTGTGCCTAGGAGCACGGTGGAGCAGAGACGTGCGGAGGGGACGCATCCCGGTTCAGACAGGGCAGCGGCAGGCAGGCTGATGGGCAGGTGCCGCCTGTGTGGAGACCCGAGTGGCCTGTTCAGCAATCTGGAGGGAAGGGCGTCTGGGCAGCGGGAACAGCAAGTACCCCAGACAGGAGCAAGCCTGACTTTTTCGGAGTGAGGAGGAGGAGTCTTGGCCGGCGAGGAAGCAAGGGGAGGAGGTTGGTGGGACAGGAGGAGGAACACGGGGTGGGACATGGGGTGTCTGTGGAGTAAGATGGGCAGCCACCGGGGCAGTTTGAGCAGCCGAGCGGCAGCTTGGGGCCTCGGCGGTGCCAGGACGGACACGCACTGTGTGGAGGAGGAGCCCGGCCGCAGAGCTAGAGATGGAGACCAGTTAATAGGCTGTTCCCGTCCCCCAGACTCCACCCGGGCGACGACGTGGGCTCCGAGCGGGGCGGGTGAGAGCGTCTGGACTCTGCTCCCTGTGCTTTTTCGTACATTTGCGTATCGACGCACGCACACAGTACGCACGGTGTGACCTGTCATGGTGTTTGTGTTTCCTTAAGTTACATTTTCCCTTTTTTTTTGAAATCTCCATCAGTTTGTCTTGCCAGTGGTTCTCAGCCTAAGGCTGCGGAGACCATAAGGAATCCGTGGAAAAGCTCAGAGACACCCCTCCTTGGTGGTGGCCACACGATCGATCGGGGGGACAGGTGCACACTGGCATCGAGCTCTGGGGGGCCTGTGGGGCGGGGCAGGGCGCCCCATAGATTCTGACGGTTGTGCAGTGAAAACTGTCCCTTCCAAGGGCAGCCCTCACTAAGAAACGCTGACTCCCGCTCATTCATCTGGGCACAGAGCTAGTGTTTCGATCTTGTGAATTCTCTCACTTCCTAAACTCCGGGTTGCTGATTTCTGTCCTTTATTTCCTTCTTCTTTGAGTTTCCTCTGTCGTCTTCCCAGCTTCTGACCTCACTTTCGTCTCTATTTGTCCTCCGACTGCTGTCTCTGAACATGGAGCTTCCCCGGCACGCTCAGCCTGCCCCGCAGATCTGATGGGTGGGCACTGATGGGTGGGCGTCCGCTCCTGTTCCCCGAGCACCTGCCGGGCAGCCAGCCCAGGACGAGGGGGGTGGCGAGCTGGGGGGCCTCGTGCCGTGCTGAGCGCCCCGCCCTTTGTGTTCCAGGTGCAGCACCTGCAGGGGGTGTACAGTCTGCAGGAGCAGCATTTCTGGACCCTGTGTTCTGACGTGTACGTGGGGACCTTGAAGTTGGTGGTGGCACCGGACGCTGATGCCAGGTGGATTTTAAGCCAAACACATAACATTTTTACTCAGGTATGACTTTTTTAATAACTTACTTTAAGGGTCGCAGAGTGTATTGTCTGTACTGTTTGAGAACATTTACTCTTCCACCTGTGAAGTGTATATATTTACCCACTATACTGTCGGGTGAGGATAATGTACTTGTTTTTCCAACCACAGAGGCAAACCCGGGAGGCCTTTGTATCGGTTGACACCGACCTGGGCCCTTTAATAAAACTCAGATTCTCCTTTGCCGTGCACCCTCCTCCGGGGACAGGGAGGTCCCCTCTGGAACTGGAGGGCCCCGGACAGGTCCCAGGGGCGGCTCTGCAGGAGGTAGAGCTGGAGTCCCGCCCTGTGACTCCACAGCTTCCAGCACCCCGAGCTTCTGCAAGTATGCGGGGCTGCAGTTCTCCCCGCGGGAGTGGACCGCGAGGGACTGAGGGCACAGTGCAGGGACAGCCCGGCCTCGGCCACCTACCGGACGGCACACTCGGGGGACTCTGCTCACTCCCGGCCAGGGAACCTCTGCTCCTGGCCCCCACCTTCTGGCTGGAGCACCTGCTGGCATCCCGGACAGCGCGTCCCCTGAGTCCCGTGGCCTCCGGCCGTGAGGCCAGGCCTCTCTGAGCTGGAGCGGCTGTGGGTTCAGGGTGGAGCATCCGCTGTGGGCACCGGGCCAAGGGGGTTCCTGGGGGAGCCTCGGGAGTGCTGGCTTTGAGAACGGTGGAAGCAGCCCTTGGTGCAGCGGCTGTTTGGTTTGGAAACCGTGTTTAGGTTTTGAAAAGTTAAGCTCTGAAAAGTACTTTAAGCCTTTTGTCAGCCAAGGGCAAGCCAGCTTTACTCTGTCCTCGAAGGCCCTGGGGGGGGGGGCCCTGGGGACGGGGTGGGGGAGCTACGGGTCGACCCGTGGCGGCCCTCCTTCCGGCCCTGAGGCAGGCGAGCCCGGACTGTTCCGCTCTCTTGTTGCCTCCCTGCCTTTGCCCCAGTCATGCAGGTGCATGTGCTCTCGGTGGATCCGGGCTTCCGGGAACATTTCATGTCGTGAAGTAAAACTTTTAACTGTTGTTTTTTTTAATTAGTTTATTTATTTTCAGACTCAGGGGAAGGAGGGAGAAAGAGGGAGAGAAACATCAGTGTGTGGTTGCCTCTTGCACGCCCCCTACTGGGGACCTGGCCTGCAACCCAGGCATGTGCTCTGACTGGGAATCGAACCTTTCGGTTCACGGGCCTGCCCTCACCCCGCTGAGCCACACCAGCCAGGGCGTAACCTTACTTGTAAATTTTAAATTACATCTTTTTTTTAGGTTTTACGTATCAGAGGTAATCAAACTCAAATGATTCCATTTTTGAGAAAAATAACCACACGAACGCACTAGCTATGGAACTTCAGTACCCGTGGCCTCAGCTCCAAAAGACCGGAGGAAGGATTTTCTCAATAATAAGTTTTACACTCTTTGGTTTTATGACATTTTTAGATGTCTTCTTATAGCTGATTTTAAATCCTAATTTAAGTAACAGTTTTTGGTTAAAAACTTACTAAAATCTCTGAGGCTAACTTTTACACTGAGGGGACTAATGACGTGAGAAGTCGGAGAAGGGTCACTTTCTAGTTTGTGTAAAAACCGTGTTTTGTGACTGTTTTCCAACTGTGTACAGGCACGTCCTTCTTACCCGCCATTTTAATCGGTTAAGCAATCGGCTGGCCGCGCACTAATACAGAATCGGTGGTGTCTTCACCGATTCTCGGGCTCCTTTGGGATTATTAATGAAGTGACAATCCAGTTTATACAATGGTCAGAGCCGATGCTACACCTGATCTTAGCCCAGAGGCCTGGGAGCGATACGATAATCCAGCTTTTAAACTGCAAGGTTTTCTGCTGGCACTGAAAAAGTCCTTGCCGTCACTCTCCCCTGTGTTAGCTTTTTAAAATGAGTTGTCATTTGGGAATTGATGAAATAGAAAGCTTATTTCTTTATGTTCGGTATTTAAATGGGAGGAGAAAGAGGGGCACCGGATTAGGAAGGCAATTTAATACTTTGTGTTTCTTGTTTTAAACTGATAATCATCTGTCAGTTTTTTCAATACCCTTTTGTTCCGTTAGAAATAAGGTTTGAAGAAAAACGTAGAATATGCTTGGGGCTCGTTGGCCTCCTGAATTCCACAAAACACAAAAGCCTATTGCACACCGTCCAGTCCCCACCAGAAACCTCTGCCTTCAGTTCTTCCACCTTTTCTTCTGCCCATTTCTGTTCTGCCCGTTAAGCCCTGAGCCCCCGGCTTCCTGCTTTGGCATTTTGTGTGCTGTTCTCTAGCTTCAAAATAGAAGCCCACGCGGATACCCAGGAAGGAACCCGGACGCCTCCACACTGGCCCCCGTGGGAGCTCCGAGCTTTGGAAACGCGCCTCCGCCGCTCCCCTGCCTTGCTGATCCCTTCCTGCTTCTCCCAGGAGCCCCTTTCAGTGGGGCCGCTGTTTCTCCACTGTTTGTACAGGAGCTCAGTTCGCTTCCAAGTCTCCATCATGCTTCGCCTTTCTTCAGCACACATGCCTGGGGTCGACCGGCACCCAACCCCCCGAGGAGGTTAGAGCCAACGGCCATAGGTCCCTGGGCTTGCTGTCCGAAGTGCGTCCACAGGGTGTAAGCGCTCCCATGTGGGTCGATCGTGGCGGCAAAGCTGACGGCCCGGGCTGTTCTCACAAGACTATTGTCCCCCGTTTACAGAAGGAGGAACCCAGACCCACTTGATTGTTGTTCGTGACTTGTAATTTCGTCTCATTCATAGTCACTAATTATGAGATGGTTCAGTGTTCATGTGGGACAGTGAGACCGGTTCTCGAGACTGCGCTTTAAAGCCAGCCCTGGGGCAGGGTGCTGTGCGGAGCCCGGCGGGCTTTTGATCAGCGGGGTGTTTGTCCGTCCCTGCGGGGTGAACAGACCGACCAGACAAGCAGTCTGCCTTCTTTGGAGAGCCCCCCCTTTCTCTCTGCTTTGAAGGAAACTGAGAAAGGAAAGCGGGAGGCTGGGAAACTTGAGGCTGTCCCAGCAGGGCCGGCAGATGAAGCAGAGCGACTCGGTTGGACTGAGCTTCTGTGCGAGGCTGTGGCCCCTCGGGACGGGGCGTAATTAGCTCCTCATTATGCAAAGACCAGTTTACGCAGCCTCTTTGTTTTTCCGCTTTCTCTCCTCCTGCCTTCTGCTTCACCATTTCTTACCCGTCTCTGTATCTGCCCTCGGGGTTAACCCAGCTGATTTCCCCAGTTCACTTTCGTTAGGAAAGAAATTAAGCCAGTTTATTTAGCTGTAGTGGTTTTGTCTTGAGGTTAGACATAGGGGAATTTTACAGAGGGTTTTCCTAACCCATTATTTTCCTAAGCACCGTTATTTTGGGCGCCATTTGGGTAGACTAAGTCAAATGTAGTCAGTCATAATAGTTTGGTCCATTAGCCTATTATAGCAGATGAAAAAACCCTTTCTCATATCACGTGGGATCCTCACAGGAACGCCGGGCACGTAGAAAGGGTTTATTAAGTGTTGGTCAAGCACTGGATGAATGTATAGCAGTTTTGTGAGATAAGTAGGGTGGGTATTTTATCAGCACTTTTCAAATGAGAAAAATTAAATTGCTTTTCAGTTTTAGCTCCGAATCACACTGATACTAAGTTCTGTCTTTTTTTCCGCCACAAACCTCTTCGAGGAGAGGGTGCTGCTGGGAGGCGCATCCTCAGAGTCGAACTTGCGCACGGCGAGGGTTGTTTTTTCAATGAGGCAAAAAGCGGGACCACTTCTGTGCAGGGGGGCTCTGGGCCCGCCCAGCTCTTTGTTCCATTCCGTGGTTCCTGAGTCCTCTCAGACGTCCTGGTGTTTGCAGGCCGTCCTCCCCGAACGCCAGGGGTGGGGCCTGAAGGACCCCACAGATTACTGTAAGGAGGTAGTGCCGGCGTTCTCCCCCCACGCGGGTTCTTCCCTTTCTCTCGACTGTTCCGATTTACCTCTTGTTCTATGTCCCCAACATGAACTTGCTTATTGTCACCGATTGTGTGCTTTACTTAAATCGTTTTTATTTGAAAGAAGGAAATTGGTGGGGTTTCAACTCCTCCAGCAAATATTCACTGATCACCTACTGTGTGCTGGTTGCTCCTCGAGCTTCTGGGTAGGAGTCAGGGTAGATCTGAGTCCTTTATCTTGGACAGATGACAGCCCAGTGGGAGGGCGCCAGTGAACATGAAACCCAGCAGAGACGCTCCGATGGGCCCGCGGTGGGTGGGCGTGGGGCGCAGGAGAGCCGGGCGGGGAGGCCTGGCTGCCGAGGCCAGCAGGGTCTCTGCGTTGCGCTCCGTTTTCCTCCAGCCCTGGGAGCACCGTCCGGCGTGCTGGATCTGCTGGCTGGTGTGTCACTTCCCTTCCTCCCTAGCTCCCGACGGTGTGTAAACTCCACGAGCACAAGGGTGTCTTGTCCCTTTTGGCTCCCCGTTGCACTCCCAGGGCCCGAACCGGGCCTAGAAGCCAGGAGGTGCCCAGGGAGTAATTACTGGGCAGACGAATTGCATGCGAGCTATACAGGTGGTCAGCGTGGGCCGTGCTGGTGTCTGAGTAGAGCTGTGACAGAGGGGCTGTGTCACGTGGCTCTCCTGAGGATCACTGTTCCATGGGAAGGATAGTGTGGCTGCCGCAGACTGAGCAAAGGGGGTCAGAGGGCAGCCAGGGGCCGTGGTCATCAGGATAGGGCTTGGCAGGCCGGGGAAGGACGAGGAAGGTGAGCTGGTGCCGGGTTGGGCAATGGAGTGGCACTGCTGTAGCCTTGGTGCTGGAGGTAGACGGGAGTGGCGCGGGGACAGAGGTCGCTGCCAATCGGGCGGGGTCTAGTCACCCAGCCAGGGCAGCGGTGCGGGCAGTGGGGTGCTCGGGGTCCGCGTCTGCCTGTTTGGTTGTGACACTGAGGGCGGAGCTGAGCTGTTGGGGGGGGTGGTGAAGAGCCACTGGTTTGGGGAGAGTGTTCTGGTTGGCTGCGTGGGGACGCTTGTCCTGGAGAGGACAGGCAGGCTCTGGCCTGGGTGCAGATGTGGGGGCCCCGACAGTCTGGGACTGGACGAGGCCCCAGGGCAGCGGCCCAGCCTTTCTGGCACCAGGGACTGGTTTCGAGGAAGACCATTTTCCTTGGACTAGCGATGAAGTGCGGGGAGTGGGTGGGGGTGGTTTCAGGTGGCTCAAGCACGTCACGTTCAAGCCCCCTCCTGCCGTGTGGCATGGTTCCCAACGGGCCACGGACCACACACGACCAAGGCTCAGGGTTGGGGACCCTGCCCTGGGGGACAAGTGTAGAAAAGAAGGGGCCCGAGGACTGAGCCTGTGGGTGTTTCTGTTCAGGGATTGAAGACGGGGGGTGGGCCAGCGGAGGCCTTGAGAAAGACCCACAGGTGAACTGACACAGGGCGACTGGCGTTGGAGCAGGGGAAGCGTTCGCCTCTGCCCTTGCTGAGAAGTAAGCGCAGAGAGGAGGACTGAGAACCGAGCGGAGCACCTCCGAGGTGCCCCTGACAAACCGTGGGGACAGGTTCGGGAGAGAAGACAGAGGGAATGACAGACGGCAGACAGAGAAGAATCCATGAGCTGGGAGAGATGCGGCGACCGAGGGAGGGTTCGAGGGGCTGCTTTGTGGTTTTGTCCTCAGCGGGGGCGGTGGGCAGTGACCTCAGCCTTCACCAGTCACTGGCACAGGCAGGGAACCAGTGCCTGGCTGGCTTCCCTGGGAGTAAATGGAGGCTCTTTTAGTGACATATGGACGATGTCGGTCCCCAGATAAACTGGAGGGCTCATGATGACGAAAAATAGAGAATCATTTCTCAGAAGCAGAGGAAATCCCTTTTCAAAAAATCATTTTTTTTGCTACTTTTCTGATCTGTATAGTTTGCTTTTGGGCTTGATTGATATTCTGATTCTTTTGCTTTCAAACTTTTCAGGCCGGAGTGAGACAGCTTTATGTACAGATTGACTTTGCAGCCGTGTAAGGAATGAAGGGAAACCGCTTCTCCGGGGGACCCACGTTGTCTGGTACTGTACCCGGCTTCTTAACAGAGAGAGCATCACTGTGGCTCCCCCGCACCGGGCAGACGGGACCAGCCACTGGTGCCCTGCGGGGGTTCACAGCTGGGGGGCCAGAACCGAGACCCTCTCTCCTGGACGTTGGGCCTGGTCCTTGGTGCCTGCCCCTCCCGACCGTTCGGATTTCTGAGCTCTCTGGGTTTGTCCCAGGGTGCTGTTTTTGTTTGTTGGTTTGCTTCTCTTTCCTCGTTCCCTTGCCGGTGTCCTCAGACCACCCCTCCTCCTGGCCAGTATGAAGCGCAGCTGCGGGCCTCCAGTCATTGGGACGGTCCTCACTGAAGTGGCTGCAAACCGCTTCTTTCATTCCCACAAAACCAGTGTTATTAAAAAGAGAAAGAAAAGAAATGGAAATCTTTTTTACATGTAATGTCACGGTTGCTGACGTTCTTCAGTATAATCATACGTTTGTGAAATTGTTTGTACCTTGCAAACTTATGAACCAAACCATATTGGGTTTTCCAAGTGCCTTTGTCTCGGAAATGTACTCGCCAGCAGAGACATCCACCGTCGTGTGTGTTTTTTAGATATTCTGTGATCTGTACAAAATAAGGCTCTTGTTAGTAATGTATACGGATTGTCACTCTGTGAGCTTTCGGCAGAGGTCTAGCTGTACGGAAGTTCTCCTTTTATTGCTCTATCTTGTCAAAAAAATAATAAAAGGTAATGTTTTGCTTTTTAAATCCAATTCGATGATCACATTACATTGTTTTGTGGATTGTGTTTTCACAACTTTGCAAATGCATCTGTTAGAAAGGTTGTTTAGACTTTTTCCGGTCGCTAAATTCCAAACTTCTGCACGAGCTTTCCTCCATTCGTCTGTTCTTGCTCATATTTGTGGGTGTTCTTAATGAAAGGAAAAGGTGACGTGCTGTGAAAACAGAAATGGCTGGATGGTGTCCTTTTGCTTTGTCACTGTTCAGATGCTGGGTCACAGGCCACTGCACCCAGCCACTGCGTCTGGGCCAGCGAGGGTCCGGGGGGGGGGGACGGGGAGCAGTTCGTCCCCACACTGGTGTCCTGGGGGCTGCCAGATCAGCTGGTTTCCAGGCGCCCGTGGGTTTGGAAAGTAAAACTGCCACCTGAGATGACAAGTGCTTGACCAGCCTGTACAAACACACTGTCGCATTGCACTTCCTTTTGTCCCCACGCATGAAACCGTGAGACTGTCGGGAGACCAAGGGCCTGCAGGATGGAAACGATTGGGGGACGCAGATCGGTGATGAGCGCGTTCTCACTGCTGTGGCATAGGCTGCTGCTGACCCTGTCTAAGGTCTGGCGTATCCTTTTCCCCGTCTCTCACCCACTGTATTAGGGAAACCGAGCTACGCTCTTCCTGCTTCTCTAACCTCCTGCAGATGGCCATGAACTCTCCCTTCTCTCCTTCCTGCAGACTGGTGTTCTCAAAACCTTTTTTCTTACCCGCCAGGCAGTTCTGAAGGTCTGTTCTCCTGCAGTGAAACGTGCTCATTAGCTGGACCAGTGGTTGGGGGGACGGGTGCAAGGAGAGGTCCCGATGCTGCTGCTGCTGCTTTGTCATGAGAGTCAGGAAAAAGTCCCTGCGAAGGCTCACCCACTGCCAAGCCCGCTGGAACCCTGGGCTGCGCACGGGGTTCAGGCCTTTATGGGAAATGCCATTCGGGCGAAGGCAGGGATTTAGGATGTCTTTAAAAACTAACTGTGTAATTGTGATGATGTTTCCCACGAGGACAGAACATCTGCACTGGCTTGTAAAATTCGTGAGTGATGTTGAAGGTCGACTCTGCCTGCCGCTGAGCCCTCCCTTCCGTGCGAAGCTGTGATCAGTCGGTGCACAAGGGCAGCAGGGTGGTTTTTTCTTTCCTGGATAAGACGTGAATGGAGGGGATCCCAGAGTGATAGAATGTCTAACCTCGCACCTGCCCCAGAGATGGCCAGCTCCTGTCATTTGGCTGGTCGGCATTAACATGTATACTTTAATTAAATGTATTTAAGCTTGCGTGTGCAACAGTAAAAAATTAGGGAGAAAAAGCAGTTTCTCCTGCACTTTGAGGAGTTGCTGTGTTTTACTGGTGTTCCTGGCCCAGATGTCTTGCTAACGTAGATTAATTTCACTGAGAAATAACTAGTTAATAATTGTTGTAAGTTGAGAATGTCCCTATGGTCGGGCTGACCTTGGGGTAGCAGGGGGTGGAAATCTCAGTATCTGAGTATAACTCTGCTAATAGTTCAGAGACCAAATACTCTCGGAGAGCCAATTCCTATCACTCAGGGAAAGTTTACTTTGCCAAGTAAACGTCCCTCAGCAGAAGTATCTGCGCCGGTTCTGTGCCTCCGAGTCCAGGTTCTACTGGCCAAGAAGGGCTCACCCTCTGTGCGGCCCTCATCCTGCTGACTCCCCAGCACCTCGGTGAGGGACAGGGCCTAGCTCGTCTGTAGTTCTGTGCTCCCCGCGGTCATGCCCACGCCATCTTCTGCCGAGGCCGACAGCAGTGTGGTCACGTGTCCTTGGTGCTCTGATTCCCCTGCATCCAGACGCCTCAGCTTGGAGGCCAGAAACCAAAATACTGTGAGCGTCGTGCACTTTGCGAAGCGGCCAAATCCCTGACCCCAAACCTCTGATGGTTTCGCCTGTACCGTCCGCGTGGTGGGTTTTTCGCGTGAGCACCCCCACGGAGGATGCCGGGGTTTAAGAACAAAAATATTTCATGGCTTGACCCAGAATGTGACGTCTGAGGCGACTGTCCTTCCGAGCAGTCTGCTCTGCCTCCCATTTTTCAGATGAGAACGTCAAGCCCAGAAACGCTGGCCCTTCCTCAAGGTCACGGAAGCCAGTCGTGGCCGAGCCAAGACCAGACGCCAGGTCTCGTGCTTGCGGGGGCCACCACCTCACGTGCTGCCCGGCTTTCCGTAAACGTGACGGGAAAGCGTCTGTATAGAGGACAGCCCACCTCCATTCTGGGTACATGACGCACTTTATAAATGGAGTTTTCTGTCTTATTTGTCATGTGTGGTGAGGAGGTTTAGAATATTATTCCCGTAGTATTCTTTATGGGAGGTAGAATTAAAGTTTTTTACTTCTTTTGTACTCTTGTGGAGCCAGTCCCCGATTTTTACACAACCGATGACGTCCGTGTATCGGAGCCTTCTCGCCTCTGAGCGATTTTCCTGGCCACTTGCCCTCGGCTCAGTGCAGCGCGAGGGGCGCTCGTTCTTTGCTTCACGCGTGTTCTGTGAGCTCAGGTGCTCCGTGGCAGCCAGGCCCCTGGGCGGGTCCTGCCATCTCAGTCTGGCGCCCTCTGTTCTCCGTGCCCGGGGCGCCTCTGAACGTCCAGCGTTGTTCGTGGAGCCACACAAAGTTGGGCAGTAAAGCTGGTGTGCAATGAGATTGATTCTTTAATTCAGCAGGGGGAAGTCTGGAGCTCTGAATCAGAACCCCAAATGCTGAACTGTTGGGATTCATCTCTCCAAGTCAGCATTAATGACCTTGAGAAATGTTTTTTGGTCACCGCCCTCAAAACAAATTAGTTTCCGATTCGCAAGGTCTTTGGGAAAAAGGAAATTATTTTATTCTTTGAGGAACACTGATCGAAAGTTTCGTTACTGGAAGGCTGTTTCCAGACGCATCCCCCAGAAGCCTCAGTGACTCAGATCTGGGCCCCAGAGTCAGGACAGGCTTTGGCTGCTGTCCCACCATCTTCTAACCAAAATTATCCAGAAAGAAAGGTTGGGGTTTAACCTTTGGTGCGTGTTCCTGCGTCGGGCTCTGGGCGCGGCCTTTTCATGTTCTCGTTGGAAATCCCCACGTTTCTGCAAAGAATTTTGAGCGATGTGATGATCGACAGCGCTTTCAGATACGGTTTCTTTTCTGATTCTCCCGACACCGGGAGGAAGGGACTCCCACCCCCATTTTCCAGGTGAGGAAGCTGCTGCAGCCGAGAAGGGGGGGCCCTGCTCCCCACGGACTTCGCAGTCTGGGCTTTGCACTCCGTCCCTCACGTCTGTCTGCCTGAACGAGTTCAAGACCCAGACCCGGAATCTGTCGCTGGGCTGACACTGTCCTGTACAGTTGGCGGCTGTCACCCTGGCAGAGCGGGTGTGGGGTGTGGCTGTCACGGTCGCTCCTTCCACCGTCTCGTTTGCTTACTTCCTGGCTTTGCCGTGGAACCAAAACTGCACTCAGAACTCCCTTCAGCTCCCTTAAGAACTTAAAAAGGTAAAAGAAGAAAGTTCTCTTGGCACTCACGGAGGGACTGGCCTGGGGACAGTCAGGGCCAGTGAGAGTCGGAGAGGCGGGCCTCCGGGCCCAGAGGTGGCACCCCGGGAGGGCGTGGCCTTTCTGAAGTGCCAAACGCCGGTCACCCTGTGTGGCCGGAGAGGGGTGTCTGGGATTGACGTGCGTTTCACTTTATGGACACCTTTTCGGGAGGAATAACTCTATTTCATAATCAGCAGTAATCTGTGCTTACACCTAATACCATTTCACTTTGAACTCTTCCCGCATCTTTCAAAATTCACCATTTGTAATTTTGATCATGCTGTCGGAAAAGAATGTCTAACTCATCTAACTCATCTTGTCACCCCGCACTCAGCGTGGATTCGCACTCACGATGCGCAGTAGACGTTCAGGGGGGGTAGACAGCGGTGTGAGGGTCGTGCGCTTTTTTGCCCAGAAAAGCGACTTTCCATCCTCTCGAGCTGTTTCTTCTTGGGCCGCCCTGTGAGCTGGTCCTTCGTCTTCATGCGGAAGCTGAGCCGATGCCCAGCTGTGGGCCGGTTCGCGTCTCGTGGGGTGGGAACGAGGCGGACGGGGCCTGGAACCTGGGTCCCTTGAATTTTGTCTTTGGCATCCAAGAAGCCACACTGTGTCCTTTGTTTTTAAGGACAGTTGCCATACCCCCGTCACTCTGAGGCCCTGGGCAGAACTGTCTTCCACTTCCTGAGCCCCAGGTGGAGTATCCAAAACTCTTCCCCAGAGAGATGCTTGAGGTGTTTCCATAATGACAACACTACACGTAGGACAGTTCTGAGTCTTTTTAACTTGTTTCCCCCCAGATACTAAATTTTAGTACAGCTTCTCTGTGTTTCACTCCTTCCCATTGCTCCTGCCGGTAGACTTCTTCTGCTTGTGAAAACAAAGCTTTACCTGTGTGAATCCTGCTTCCCTATCACCTGTGGTGCCGTGGCCAGGCTCAGGGCACGTTCTGGGTTGAACTAGATGGACCTCTGACGCGAGTTTGCCAAGTGATCTGAGTGCTTCCTCTAAAAGCAGCAAATTCAGTGGCTTTTCTGCCCAAGTGGGGTTTTGCCCCAACACTTGTGAGTTTGGCCAATAAACAGAATGGGCTTTTTATATGAGAAATACTGTGAATGAAAAATTGCCAAATCCCCTCCTGGTCTATTCCCTGTGCCCCTTCCCCTCCTGACCTCCGGTCTTGAATGGTTTCTAAGCACGTGGCCCAGTTTGAATGTGGGTTTGATTCCTTCCGTGAAGACCGGGGGCATCACACATCCCCAACAAATGCTCAAGTTCAAGGCCAGGCTTGACCGTCCACTTCAAGGGCTATTGTGATTTGGTTTGCTCACACACACACACACACACACACACACACACGCGCGCGCGAGCAACTCTGATCCGCCGAAGTACAACACAACAACTCTGTAATGTCGACTCCGCTTTTTGTTACCGGAAAACATTTTTGTATGTTTTGTGTAACCTCAGATGTATTTAAAAAGAATAAACAGCTGTATCAAAATTCTTCCAATAAAGTTTCTGTTTAAAAATCTTCTACATCGTGTCTGTCAGTCTGATTGGCTGAAAAGAACACTGACCTGTCAGCCTTGGGGGCGGGCAGTTCCGGGGGGGCGCGGGTGCGAGGGAAGGGTGACGGTCTGGGCACCGTGCTGAGCCTCAATGCTCATTTCCAGATTTTTCCATGCACTCAGGGTCTTCTCACTCCTCATTCTCTCGGGGCGACCTTGGCTCATAGGGACTGTGGACCGAGAGCATCTGATGTGCCCCTCCGCTGTCCTGCCAGTCTCTCCCTCTGCAGTCAGAAGCATCTTTGTCAAAGTAAGTTTTCCACCACCCGGAGCTCCCTCCTCTCGCCTTGTCAGATCCTCCCCTCCAAGCGGCCCCTTCTCCAGTGTCCGTCCCTGCCCCGTGGTGAGGGCCTGTCCTCTGTGTGGCCAGATAGTGCGTGGGGGGCCCACACAGGCTCCTCCACTTCCTGCCAGCCCTTTCCCTGGCTTCCCCGACGGGGCCCTCCTGCTCCCCAGCCTGCAGGAAATCAAAGGCCATCGTGGCAGCCATGGCAGAAATGCCAGCATCTCAAATTCAACAGAGAAAAACCTGAGATCGAGGCTCTGTCCTGAGATGTTAGAAAATTCAGCGTTGCCACCTCTATGTGTTCTGCAGCCCTTGTCACAAAGCCCTTCTCCTCGTTCCTCTGCGATCTTTCAGTCACCTTCTGTGTCCCCACCGTCCTCTGCGCCTCTGGATGACCGCGCACAGATTCACTCTAAGGGACTGCCTGGCTTCCCATCCATCCCGGGCACCCCCAACCCAACCCCACCCACAAACAGTCCTGGCCTTCGGCAGGAAGCCCGAGAAATTTCTGCTGAGTGAGACGGTCGCCCAGGCCTTTTGAACCTGGCCCCCCGCCCAGGTTTCCTGACCGCCTTCTGGGCCCATCTGTGTCCTGGACTTTGACCTGCCGGGTCTCCGGCACCTGCCAGACCCCCTGCCTTTCCTGTGTTCTGTGGAACTGGCCTCTGACCCGCTGAGGTCTGCTGGGACCTGCCAACCCCGCCTAGAGCAGCCGCCTCTGCTCACACACGGGGTCGGGCATGTCATTCACGGCGACGTTTCGCTCCCTGAGCTGGAGGGGCTTCTTCCTCCCCCACAGAGGCCTCCCTGTGTTTTTTAAAATGCCCAGCCTCAGTCCGCCGACGCCGGGAATCGTGAGGGCTCCCCAAATGCAAACCGAGTGCAGGTCCCTCCGACCACTCTAGAAACTCCTTGTCTTTCCCGCGACCTTCAAGCTCATCAACCACGATAGGGCAACAAGCAAGTTCTTTATCGGTCTAGACCAGAGAAATGGCAGAGATGGGGGGCGCAGGCAGGGCCACGACAGATGCAGGCACAAGAACAGTGACTTAGAATTTGTTACTCTGTACAGAAAAGAAGAGAAAGGAGGCGCTTGAATGGGACTAGAACTCGCGACAACAATCCATCCACTCAAACAGCTGTATTTCCAAGCTCTAAAAACATCCGTGAGGTTCGGGCTCAGCACACGCTCCCCGCATGTAAATGAACAGGTCGCTTTATCTGATGGATTCCTAAGACCAAGAGGGGCCGTCAAGGCAGCCGGAAGGTAACACTCAAAGGCAGCGAGGCAACCACGAGAGAACGGGACCCTGTAGGACAGCCCGTGCTAAAGCCAAGGATTAAACACAAAATTGTGCAGAAACAAAAGTGCCCCCCCAGTCTTTCCTGCATGCGGGCACATACTAGTATTTTAAAAGGGCGTATAAGCCTGCAAATAATTTGCTTCACACCCCAGCACAGGCCCTTTCACAGCAATTACAATCCTTGCTCACCACGCTGAAAACTGCACATAAGAAAGGTCTTTGGAATTAGCCATCACCATGTCCCGCCCTGGTCTGCGGATCAGACTGCTATTCATGTGACGAGACGAACTTACTGCATTTTCGGTTCTATTCATTGGAGCTACAACCTGCTGCTTGCTTCCAGAGACGGCCCAGGGGATCCTGCCCTGGTGGGCAGCCGCTGGGGAACCCCGAGGCTGTCCTGTGACGGGCATTCTTCTCCGAGAGGCGGAGCCCTGGTTTCAGGCAGACCCGTTGCTTTCCCCCCTTGGCCCCCTCGCCCCATGGATGAGGACGGAGGCCCGATCAGGAAGGCATGCGACACAGCCACAGAGTTCAGGGACTAGACTCCAAGTTTCTGGCCAGACGACCAGAACGAGGAGCCTGGGAACCAGGAAGCAGTGAGGTCATGGAGAGAAGGCAGCACAGGAAAGGGACCCCATACAGCTGTTTACACTGCTCCGCAGATTCCGCAGTGTGATCCGCAGATGCACACTGTCACCTGTATGTGGACCTGGTCCTCCTTAGCACTCACATAGCCCCCCACGCCCCCTGGGTCAGTGGGACCGGCCAACTCATTTCCCGCGTGCACCTCTGGGACCCAGAGGAGACCCACGCAGACATGGGGAGACGCACCAGCTCCAGAGGGGCCCCGGCTGGGAACTGATGATTTTTCTCATCGATGCTGCAACCAGATGTCAGTTCCAGGAACTGCTGCCCTTGGACGTGGAGCTGCTGGACATTGCCCCACACACCGCACCGAGGACCTGCGTCCTCCTGCCCTCCACCCTTCCTCGTCCCTCAGCTTCAGTCATTTCGAGTCACCCGTCACCTGCGCTCTGCTATTAAGTCCCGCCATTTGGGTTTGGGTTGGTGGGTGGGTTTCCATTTCTCTGCTGGGGGCAGCCCAGCTTCGCTCCTTCACTCCAAACGTAAGTCTAAGGGCTGCTTTGGTGTCCCGTGTGTGGATTCCCGCATCTGGGGTGTTGGGGTCTCCTTCTGCGAGTACCTCCTACTGTGTAGCCGTCTAGTCATTGTTCTAGGAGCCCCGTTTGGTCATCCCGCCCTGGCAGGGGAGCTTTGCTCTAGCAGGCAGTGAACTTATCGTCTGAGCGCCGTGGTTTTACACCACGTTAAAGGCCTGGCCCATAGTTTCAGCGCGGATCGTTAGTCCTGGGAAGAACCCTCATTACTCATACCCGGCTGTCCCAAGGATTGGATGGAAGGCCCAAAATGCTTACCAAGCCTTCTCATGTGTCGGAATTCAAACTCAAAACTCCGTCTCTTTGCACAGCCAGCAACACTCTGCTCAGCTTTCCCGCCCCTGGCGTGGTTTTCCCTGGGTTCCCCCTGCCCACCCACAGCCAGGAGTCAGCCACAGATTTCGGAGGTCATGTGCAGGCCGGAAGGCTCCTCCCTCACCTGGAGTTCCCTCCTTCAATGCACAGCCCCTCCATCAGCCCCCTTGCTCCTCAAACACCACCAGCTGGTGAGACCGCACTTTCTTTTGGGCTCCAGCCACGCCTCCCCCGTCAGACCTGGAACAGCCGAGGCGGGAAAGCCAGGTAAGAGAGTTCTCGGCCTGCTTGTGGTCTCTCCCCAGTGGGCGGCAGGCTGTTACTATGCTCCGTCCAGAGTTGGGGGGGGGGGTGCGCGTGTATTACAACCTATTACGATGGTACCAAAACCAGAGGTCCTTCATTTTATAATTCTTCACTGTTTGGTGTAACGCCTCGGACAAAAAAACAAGAAAGAACTGGCAACTTAATGTCCTCAGCTCCCTCCCCTTTTGTGTCTGATTGAAAATAGAATGTTTCCTATATATTAAAATCTTTTATCTCAAATGAAGTCAGTCAAAATAACATCTTGCTAATGGACGCTCCCAGAAGAGAAAGATGTTTGTTCAGCTTGCCGTGAACTTCCTGAGGGGACAAGTGGACCAGCACGGAAGTGCCCGCAGTCACAGCGGCCACACTCGCGTGTCGCAGCGCTTTTCCTGCTGCGAGCTCACGGACAGCACACAACTCCGGGCTCACGAGACAGTGAGTGGAATGTCATGCACACCTGGTGAGACGAACGTGACTGAGGGCACCTGCGTGGGGAACACCGAGTTAAGCGGGGCCCCGAAGCTTGCCCGATCAACCACTGTCTTCAAACTTGAATTTTAAAAAATTTTATTTTGTAGTTTTCCATTTGTCAGCTTGAGTGTGAAAGTGGCTATTCAAAACCGAAGAGCAACAGACATGGCTGGCTGCACATTTATAATTCGGCGATTACATAATGTATAATACGAGCTCTGTGACTAGGGTGCCAGGTAATAAGACAGGTGATTCAGAGGCAGTCACTCGGCCGCCCCGCCCACCTGTGCGCACGCGCAGTTAGCTCGCCTGCAGTTAGCTCGCCTGCAGTCAGGACGGCTGGCTTCCGAAGTGGGGAGAAGGTCCTCCTTGTACAGATGGTTGCACAGTGAAAAGCTGCGTCTCAAGGGCTCTGTTGGTGGGTGTCCACCTACAAGTGTCCCATGCGCGCCTCTCCAGGAAAGTTGCCAATAGCTGCACGTAATGATGACGTCAGAGGGACCGCTCCGGCCGCAGGAGGCGGAGCGTGGTTCACTCGACTTCTCCTCCAGCACCGGTTCGGTACCTGCTGGCACAGGGGAGACCTGTGCCCTTTGTTATAGACACGCGCGCCCCGGGGCTGAACTGCGCCTACAGGTCGGAGCGTCTACCTGCGGGGCCCGTCGGTGCCACGGGACGCCGGGCTGGCCTCTGGCACCGGAAACAGACTGAGCATCTCCGCCTCCAGCGGGTGCAGGCTGCCTCCGGTGATGACCAGGGAGTGCAGCGGGCCCCCCAGGTCCACGGTGCACATCTGCAGCAGAGTGCCGGCGGCGATTCGCTGGTCCTCGGCGCCGACCCGGGCGAGGCCAACACACAGCGTGTCCTCGGTGACTGCTACTTAAGGAGAAAAGATTCCGCCATTCAGCGCCGCAGACGCACTGCTCTGTGCAACAGCCGAGCCAACGTTAGTGCCAGGAGGCAACAAAGCCCCAGGTACCTCACATCCCCTTGGCCACTCTCTGAGGACCCCCGATCTAATTTAAGGCGTTTCTAAATTGTTTGCACTGCTTGACACATAACGTAGCACTTCCCGACTTTTGACCCTTTCAGGATGCAAACGCTGGCCTTAGTTTAAGTGTTTAGGATTTGATAAACAAAGGCCAGTGTCCACAGTCTTTAACACCATATAGCAGTCACCTTGAAATTGTTTCTGACTGAGTGGTGTTAGTACACGCTTACATGTTTACTAAGCTACTTGGGATATGATCACACGGACCGAGCTATGCTGGGAAAACAACTGAATTATCAGGTAAATACATGAATCTGAGTTTCTGCTCGGCCGCCTGATCAGCTAGGTGGCAAACTTCAGATTCTTCCTAAGTTTAAATGGGGGTTATAAAGGCTAGGATAATAGACACAAGGCATTATTTAGTAGACTACAAAGCCATTAAGAAATCATGGGCATTACGACATTACTTATACTTTCAAGTTCAAAATAACCACCATTTGTGAACATCAGTCTTGTTTGCTCTGGGGCACCACCTTCCCGTAGTCTTGTTATTAGCTGGAAGGGGGCACAAAGGCCTGCGAGGGACTCTGCAACATCCTGGGGGAGGCAGGTGCTCAAAGGCAGTCAGCACCTTAAAATATAATGACTGGTTCATTAAAAAACCTCTTAGCCAATATTCACTGCGATAAACATTTTACTGTAACCTTCACACTCTGTCTAGATTTGAGGGAAAAATCCCCTTGTCTCCGTCCTAAAGAAAACCAGCCCAGGGCTCAGTGTGGAGAGTGAGAAAAAGCAGAACAGATATATTCTTGCAGGAAAAGCTCACTGTAGAGTTCTGTACTTTATCAAAATATTTATATGGTAACATACTCCAAATGTGATTTATAGTTAATTGGTGAAAACCCTCATGTTCCGGAGCGAACTGACTTTACTAGAAAGAACTCCATTATATCTCTTTCAGGACAGCGTTTGGCCTCCAAGACTTAAGGTGAGCCTGGAAAACAGGCAACGTCACGCACGCAGCATTCACACGTGGCACTGTGGCGGCGGGGGCGGGGCATCAGCGAGAGAGCCCTGGGGGGCATCGAGGGTACCTGGTTCTTCTCCTCGCGCTCTCTGGTTTTCAACAACCTCCAGGAGCTGCCGGGCTGCTTGGCTGACGGTCATGTAGCGAGGAGGTTCGTAGACCTTCCTTCCCCTGGAAGTAGAACAGCAGGTGCCACTGGTCTTAGGCGTGAAATAGCATCAGGCATATTGACGCAGCGCTGCCCCAGGTACCCGCAGGCCCCACACCTGGGTTCTCTTGGAGGCTGTCCTGCGGCACCCCCTCAAGTGCCCACTGAAGCACAGAGACAGCGGTTTCTCCTCGGCCTCTTAAGCTTTTTTCATGGTTTTATTTCAACTGCCCTCTGATCTCAATGAAAGGTTGGCAGAAATAAAAGTCTAACGACTTAACAAATGCCTAACAGTTGCCTTAACTCAGAGGAGTACCTTAGGCAAAAATGCTCCAAATGAGTGGCCATTTGCCCTGCATCCTAGCTTAATCAGGTTCTGTAGCATTCATTTTCATTGCCATGGTCAAACCACAAATCCCTCTCTTCACTTCATCCCCTTAGAAAGTCAAACTATACGGTAAACCGCTGAAAATCTAGGAGAGGAAGACATGTTTATGTCTGTAGGACCGAAAAGCCTCCAGCGTCTGCCCAGTGGTCTCGACAAAAACAGAGCTTGTGTGGCGTATCAAACGGGTCATACAGATTATTTTTGGACTTTCAAAACAGTTCCTGCGTCAGACTGGCCAGGAGAAACATCACGCAGGCCACAGGCATACTTTTAAATTTTCTAGAAGCCACGTTAACAAAAGTTTTAAAAAGGGCAAAATTTTAATAATATTTAACCCAATGTATCCAAAACATTATACTTCAACACTCACTTCTATAAAAGTCAAAGAGGCTGCTGTTGTGCCACGTGTTTGAAATGTGACGTGCTTTACACGTATAGTACAGCTTGATCCAAATGTTAACTTTTCATTGCAAACACCTGCTCTGTACTTAGATTACATAAAATTCATGGTTATAAAAGTAGAGTTACACATGGAAGTCGTTCTGAATCTACTGAAAAGTTTTCCAATAACTAAGGTATTAATTTTATTTATTTATTTATTTTATTTCTAGAGAGGGGAAGGGAGGAAGAGAAACATCCCTGTGTAGTTGCCTCTCACGCGCCCCCTACTGGGGACCTGGCCTGCAATCCAGGCCTGTGTCCTGAATGGAAATCAAAGTGGTGACCCTTCTGTTCGCAGGCGGGCACTCAATCCACTGAGCCACACCAGCCAGGGCTAATTTTAAATTAATTAAAACGAAATGATAAATTGAGTTCCTCAGTGACATTAGCCATATTTCAAGTGCTCATCTGTCACTTGGACGCTGCCTCTCCAAGCAAAAAAGGATCATTACTGGCATTATTCACGTGAGAAAAAGAAGGCTCACAAACGGAGGTAACCTGCCCAGGAGCCGTGACCGGAGGCAGACCGGGGACTCAGACCACGTCTCCTGACTTCGGCTCGGTCACTCCACCAGCACTAACTGGGTGCCTGCCCGGCACCGCCCACGGTGCTCAGTGACGCATCCGTGACGCATCCGTGAAATCCACGGCCGTTTCTGCTCTGCCACACTTCTTACCATTCCCATCTTTTCACAAGGTTGAAAGTGTTTAATTCTGAACTGTAATGAAAGCTGATTTTCAACAATCTTTAGAACTACCGCTGTTCAAGCAGAATTGATTGAATTGCTCAAGGAATTAAAATAGATGTAAGCGTTCTCAGAGTAAGACTTACTTGATGAGATTTTCCAGAGACTGCTCCTTCACTTTGATGTCTGCAGGGAGTGAAAAATAGTTCTCTTTTAGTGTAATTAATCACTGTTTCCAAAAGCCTTTGCTTACGTACACCCAAGTTTTGGGGAAACGTTCTTCCCAAGTATCTTGACACTTTGTAATGAAATAATGGGATGGAAGCCTGGGGTTGAGTAAAGGTAACTAGTTAGAAAACAAACATGAGGTTGGCTGGAGAGTGTCCGACCCAGTTTCCTCTGGGAGGCAAAGGCACAGGAAGGAGTTGGATACGCACTGGCCGGTCCAGCACCTTCCAGTCCATTCCCGCTGGCCGGCATCTGCACTAACCCAAGGGGCAAGTCATGTTATGTCCCCAACCCAGACTGTTTCTCAGGCACCAGGAGGTGAGTCTCAATGCATGTAACATACATAGAAAGAAGCTCTTACTACGTAAGGAAAAAGACGTTTGCCCTCTTAGGAACAGTAAGACTTGCCCCTGGTAACTCATGAAGAAACACTTTGACATCACACAGTCAGACCTCAGCAGGCATCCCCAACACCAGCACCAGGCACGGGGACGCCCCGGGGCCAGGACCCTGCACAGCAGCTGCTCTCATGACGCCCGGCGGGCCAACCATCTCAAATGTTGGAACCTCTGCCCCGGAGGCACTCGGCCTGGCTGGCTGGTAAAAGGTAAAAAAGGCAGAAGCCCCCGACATCCTCAGAGGAACTCGGTGCGCGGCGGCAACAGCTGCTTCCTGCTGCACACACTCAAAACCAGCAGGTCAGCCAGAGTTTGTGTTTGCAAAAATAAATGCAGGGCAACGAGCGGTCTTGCTGATAGGCTTCCACTGCGCTTCTCGGTGACTGCACGAGTTTTTCTTAGAAAAGAACTACAGAAAACACAGCAAAGATTAACCCGCATGTGTCTTTCTAAGTGGTCCCTGCCACCAGCGGTGAAAGTAGTTTTCTGGTTTGGAATGGCATCGTTTAAGGTTTCCACTTGTCTGGACGCACAGGGGACAGTGCGTGTCTGTCACTGAAAACCTGGCCTCCCTTGCCATCGGTCCCTTAGCTCTCTTTAAGTGACAGCTGAGAAACTTTTCAAAATTCAACACAGGCATTATTTCATTCGCCTGAAGCTTATACAGTGTTATTTGCAATAGTAAAGTTTGGAATTTCATATTTCCATTTTTAAAAAGCTTTTTAAATAACATGCTCTACAGCAGCGATTTTTCAGCCTTTTTCATCTCATGGTGCACATAAACTACTTACTAAAATTATGCAGCACACCCCAAAATATATCATCCACTTTGCTGGTCTGACAAAAAAATAGGTATAATTTTCATCTAGTCACACTAGACAGCTATTGTTGAGCTGGCTGCTGTCATTTCTTTTATCTGACAGTTGAAGGGAAAAGATGTCACTGTCCCTGAATAAACAGTAAAGGTAACCAGTTACTGCATGTCCTAGAAATTCTGTGGCACAGTGGCTGAAATTTTACCTTCTGCAACAGCATGGATGGGCCCAGAGAGCGTTACGCTGGGTGAAAGAAGCCGGTCCAAGAAAGACAAGTGCCATGTGATGTCACTTATATGCGGAACCTAACGGACAGAATAAACTAACAAACAAACTAGAAACAGGCTCGTAGACACAGAGAACGGACTGGCAGCTGCCAGGGGGAGCGGGTGGGAGTTGGAGGAATAAGGCGGAGGGATTAAGCAAAAATAAAAAACCACGTCACAGACAACAGTGTGGCGATGAGCAGAAGGAAAGGAGGTGGGAGAGGAAGAGGAGGGTGAAGGGGGGTAAACAGTGACAGAAGGAGACGTGACCTGGGGTGGTGAACGCACAGTACACACAGGACATATCACAGACTTGTGCACCAGAAACCTGTATAATCTTATCAGCCAGTCACCCCAGTAAATTCCATTTTAAATAACCACTGCTCCACAGCACTGTATTTTAAAACTGAGGAGGACCGGGGGGCTTTCTACAGGTGTGTGCTTTGTAATGGAACAGAGCCCGGGACGGCCGGTCTCAGCATCTTTCCCTTGGCGCGTCCGGGGCCGTAATCACTCCTCTCCTGCTGCACGGTAGCAGGTAGGCTTCTGTTCATCTCAGAACCGGGAGCCAGCGTGACGCAGTCCCCACGAGGTACTCCACAAAGGTCTTCTGAGTGAGCGTGCCCACCCTCCAGCCCACCTGAAACCCCCCACCCAGAAGGAGCGTGGAGCCCTGACTCCTCCGTAAAGCCTTCGTTGTCCTTGGAAACATCCATACAACCAGCGCTGTATTTTCCTCTCTCAGTTTTATCCCACGCACTCGTTCGTCTCACTTTCCAGCCCAGCGTTAAGTTCTCTGTGGTTGCCTGCGGTGTGTGCTCCTGGCCCCCACAGGGTCTGGCCCATCGGCAGGCGGTTGACAAACACGCGCTGACTTAAATGACAGGGCTCCAGAGCCTGAATGATAAGAACTGTGGTTGGAGGATCTGGCATTGGGGCATCTTCTACTCCACACCCTGTTCCTGCTTTTGTTAACGCAGCTAGAGAGACAGGTTGTTTCACTGTGTCTTTTCCCAGGGAAGCCGAGAAAAGTGGCAGCTCTTAGAAAGGGGGTTCGAAAGCCGCGGTTCTGGCCTGTCCTTCTTTGCCTCCCCGAACAGCAGAGCCTGACGGGGCTTTCAGCCTTCCCTGCGCACAGAGAGGCAGTTCCAGCCAGGTTTCCAAACCCCAGGTAACCAGTCCTACGGGCTCCGAAAGAACTGAAACTCGTGGGCTGGAGTGTGAACACACACTCCATAGACACCTGGGATCTTATTTTCTAACCACTTTTCCAGAGCCTCCGAAAGAGAGATGCTGCTGTTCTGCCCCTGCCCCCCCCCCCTGTTTTTTATGGCCATGGGGAGAAGCCCGGGGTCGCCTGCCTCTTACACCTCTGGTCTCTTGCTCTGCTTTAAACCCTCTCAAGGTTCGGCTGTGAAGCCCGCAGGGAGGACACACCCAGGATCCGAGCTCCTGTGCACCCGTTTTCAATCACTCCAAGGCTGCAGACTCGACTACGAAAAGGTAAGACTGGTCTCTTTCCACATGCGAAGCACAAGGACAAAACTGAAGCACTATCTGCACTGACAATAAGCTAAAATAAGAAACCACGGCACACCAGTTGAGTGCGGGATACAGGCAAGGGCCAAAAGAAAAGAAATAGTGAGAAAAGCATTCATGGGCTGACTTTGATGTGGAATTTATTAGGTGCCCATGTGACTGGAGGAAAAGAAATGTGTTCTGGCCGGAACTGAATAAACTAGTAAGAGTTAAAGACTTTCTCTCTGAAAAAATAAACTAAAACATCCTTCAACCAATTAACTTCCATAAATATTTACTCTACGCTGTGCCAGACCTCTAGACATTAGAGCGCAAACAGGGAAGAAAACTGGCAAATTAATAGAATCACTCAGACGGGTGCTAAGAGCACGAAAATAAACGAAGTAAAACAAGGTAACAAGGAAGGGACTCGCCAGGGACACAGTGTATCTCAGGAGTTTAGGCAAAGTTCTCCAGAAAAGGGCCAGAGAGTAGGTATCTGAGGTTCTTGGGCCCCGAGTCAGAGGAACAGCTGTGTCACACTGCCACCACTGCAGCACGAGAGCAGCCACAGTGACGCAGGACGAAGTGCAAACTTGACCTACAGAGCGGCTGTCGGCTGGACTCGATCCCCGGGCACTGGCTTCCTAACTGCCTGGGACACCGATTTCCCATTTCTGCCCCATTTCCCGTTTCTGCCCCAGGAGAAGCGCCTGCCGTGGGTAAGACCCGCTCTAGGCTCTTCTAGTGAAAGGGACGGCTGCCCGGGTTCCAACAGCGCACAAGTCACACGTGACGGAGTGACACGGAACAGGCTGTCACACAAGTAGCCGGGGCGTTTTTGGCACATGGGAGCCTCTCCGGAGATCTCTGCTCCCTGCAGAGGCCGGAATCGCGGCTCTCTCTCCGCCTGTCACCTCGACCTGCCGGGCGGCTCCAGTGTCACTAAGGCGGTGCGGTTTTGCGTGTGAGCCCAGGGCCCCAGCATGTGAGTGCGCTGTGACCCTGCACGTGGACCGACCACAGGACCGAGAGCGGCGTTGGCACACTCAGAGCAAGCCGAGGCCGGTACCGGAGATCACACATTTAAAAACACGTGCACACCGCCTGCTGGGGCAGCTCCGTGGGACAGGTGGTCACTCCCGGCTCGTGGACACGAAGCAAAGGTCAGGGCCCCGCACCGTCTGGCTAGCGAGGAAGACCCTGGGACTCGCCCTCTGGTCTGGACACACGCGCCACTGCGCAGCCATCAGAGGTGCCAGTAACCTGTCCTGTCCGTCACGGGGGAGAGCTGTGACCCTGGTATGCAGACAACCCGCACTGTTCCAGCAGGCACTGAAGGGACTGTGACCCACCCGGGACAGTCCCGGTGCGTCTGCGGGCCACACCGCCCGAGTCCTTCAGAGCAGTACCTGTGCCATCGCCGTCACTGTCACGGCCGTTGCCAAGGGCGGTGGCCTGGCTTTCTCTCCGCACCGGGCACAGGGTTTGGGCAGCACGACACAGCGGGGACAGCGGGGACCGCTATGAGCACAGGCTGCAGGGTTCTCTCTGTGCTGCCACCGGGAGGCTGGGTGACCGTGGGCAGTGGCTCCCACCTCTGGGCCCCAAGTCCACCTGTAAACCAGGCGTCAGCAAGAGGGCCTCTGGGGCGCGTCAGACCCCCACACGTGACTCTGCCGGCTCCCGCAGGCCAAGAGCTCCCGGCGGAAGGCCCAGCCCAGGGCCAGGTAGGGACGGATGCCCCAGGCCAGCCTGCTGAGCTGCGGTAAACTGGCAAGACCCAGGGGGACCAAGGGGGGGGGACACACGGGGACCGGCCTGCGGTGACTGGGGCAGAAAATGTACATCTCCCGAGAGAGAATGCGCAAGCGCTGGTGTGCCCAGAGTGCCAGCTGTGGCCAGGGCTGCCGCTGGCTAGCTCCCCGCAGGGCAGTAGGTCGAGGTGGGAACAGCCCGACAACCCTGCACTGTGACTAAGGGGCGGGGCGCCCTTACCCAGTAGGCACAGCGTGTGCATGCCGTTCTGCCTGTTCTTCTTCACTTTGTCGAAGAAGCTCTCCGGTCTCCAGGTGTCTGTCCAAAACACGATGGACACCGTCTCTCCAAACCTGTACAGCTAGAAAAGGCACAACCGTCCATTAATGACGGGATACTTCACTCAGTGCTGTTTTATAGATGATGACCAAGACGAAAAGTGAGCAGCAGACTTGAGGTTGGGGACCACATCTGTCCCGAAAAAGAAAAGGCAGAACAGCTCTCTCTGCCCAGAGCAGCTGGCCCGCTCCTGATGCCCCTGATGTCCCACATGTGGTTCGGGGACATGGTACCCAGTTCACGGCTTAGCTGTGAGGCTGCTAAACCTACTGAGATCCCAGGAACCTGGTAGGGAACACACACAGGACATCCGAGCAGCCGGTGTGGCTCAGTCACCATCATGACACGCACTCAGCAGATGAGGCCTCCGGGCTCCCAGAGAGCACGCGGCTGGCGGGCCCCAGCTCGGCAGTAAAGCAGCAGCTGGGACGGAGGTCCGAGGAAGCCTGTCCTCTCTGACCCTCTGGGAGAGCCACAGGGCACACTGCTGCAGCTGCTCCCACAGCCCTGGACTTTCGCCCTCCGTCCGTCCCCTCACTGCGGAGGCCGATGAGGGGGCCTACCCTCCCCCGGTCCCTAAGGACCGCTCCCCATTGACCGTCACACAATCAAGAACTTGCTGGGCTCCCATTTGCATCCCACGGCCGGCCGTGCAGTTCACTTCCGTGAGTCCAGCCCCGAAGCTGACGCCGAGAAAGCCTGGCTCTGGATTCTGGTCCTGCGCCTCGGTGGCCGTGTGACATGCTCTTTCCAAGTCACTGTCTCTATAAACCAGGGAGTGGCCGCACACTCTCCTTCTTGCCCATGGGTTGGGAGGATTAAAGGACACTGGTCTCGGACTTTGTTATTTTAACCCTCACGCGTGTTGCTTCCCTCGACGCAACACTGCTTTTTGCTGACCCTAGAAAGGTTGTGTGCTGGGCCTCGTACAAGGGACAGAAAGTTGAATGACCATGTAGGTGGAAGGTGACGAGATGTATGTTCTTACACATATGTAAGTGAGTGAATCCACCAGGAGTCAAATGAAAGGACGGAAATTCCAAAGATAAGACCCAACTTGGGGGAACAAGTAATCGAATGCACAAGCAATTCAACTCAGCGGAGACGTGGTACTTGTCACACAGTGATTCTGTGCGTGGCACTGCAGCGGAGCGCGAGGAAAGATGGGACGAAATGAGTGAACCGAGGCATTTGCGATGCGGTGAACCGCACACGGGTGAGGGAGGGTCTGCACAGGATGGGCGTTCACCGGGACTGTCGCAGGAGAAGAGGGGCAGGACCACACCTACCAAAAATCAGACAAAGCCCCGATAAAGTGGGAACGAAGGTAAGATGACTATTTAAATAGTGATTAAAGTTATAGTGAAAATGGGAAGGAAGAAAAAAGTTTCCTGACATGCCCATGCTCTAGCAGGTGGTCAAAATTAATTCTGAAGAAACTAAAAGAGCAGAGAGTTCGTTAGCTGAGTTCTAAGGTTACGCTGCCCCGTATATGCACAGCCTACTTTGGCGTTCTCTGTACCAGGCTGGGCTTTCTCCTGTTTGTGTTGCTCCTGGACTACGACGAAACCACTGTGATGCTTCAGAGAACCTGCAGTGAGGACCATTCAGCGTGATCATCCTGAGGAGAAATGTCTTACAGACACAGAGGGACATATGGCAATCGTCAAGGTCACTTACACAAGCACAGAGAAAGTAGAAGCACTTCACGATGACAAAATTCCAGTCTTACCCCAGAGTCAACCACTAACAGTTTTTACTTCTCTTTAAAATGTTTTGTTGTAACCACAGAAATCATCGGTGCCAGGTTACATGCCCTGTACTCTTTTCTGCGTTACTCCTTATCCCCATCCTCAACGCAAATGCGGCCCGCGATATCCCATCCACTCTTCCGACGGCCTCGGCACCGCGAGTGGATGTCTCTGTTGAGCAACCCGTGTGAGTCTGGGGCCTGTTTCCTGGGCGCCAATGGGTCACTCGGGGCCTGTCAGTGAGTGTGCGCTGTTTCAGGAGCTCCTTCCGCAGGACATTGGCTTGCACTTGTCCACACGGGCTTTCAAAGGGGTCACAGACATTGGAGATGGGAAAGGCTGCCCCCTCTGCAGCAGACGTGTGCACGGTCCCTCCATCCGTTCACGCCACTTTAATGATGCTTATTGCTAGTAATCACTGTTACTGTTTATGTTATGTGGATTCATCCCAAAATCAGTTAAGATGGATTTTTTTAAGCAACGTTTCTTTTCCAAGGGGGAGCCAGGGCTTGGACAGGAATGGCGCTGTACCAAAGCTACCACAAGGAAGCCGAGATTTCCGTTCAGTTCAGTCCACACTCTGTGCAGGACACTTGCGAGGCAGGAACCCCGCTGGGGGCTTTGAGAGGCAGGCACAGAGAACCTGGAGCCCTGCCCGCACGCCTGTCACCCATGAAGGTGTCTGTGACAATGTGCACAGGCCGCTATTACCATCATGCCTGGAAAAGTGCAAGAGAACACGAAACAAGGGCACATTTGCTTTCTTTGAATGAAAGCGCCCGGGCCAAATTCTGACTTTTAAGGTGATGTAACATCGACATTTGTCATTAAAATGTTTGCTTGTAAGTACAGGACTTGTCAGTGCCAATGACGGGGGCACATCTAGGAACTGGAACAGTCTGAAGGAAGGGGCCTCCGGGCGGCCAGAAGGAAGGATGAGCACGATGCCCACGGACCGAGTGGGAGACGGGGCCCCGAGCAAAGAGCCACAGGTCTGAGCAGAGAGAGCACGCGTGCTGTCTGCTCCGGCGGGCCACGTCTCCAACAGGCCAGGCTATTGGTGGGCACGCCAATTAGCCACGTGAAACAACCATCAGAAACACAGGCCGCCAGTCATGAATACACTTACGGGGACAAGATGGAATGTTTTAAATGAAGATTGTCTCAAAAAAAAAAATCAGAAAGCCTGGAATTACATGTAAGGAGAAGCGGTGATTCCCAGCCACGGTGTGGATGGATAAGGTAGCGGCCGCCAAGCTCCTTAGTACTATTGACACTTAACACCACACGGCACAGTGGGGGTGACACTGCTGCGCCCGGGGCCACCTGAGGGACTGAGGCCCTTGGTCAGCCAGATGACCACAGACCCCTGACCTCCAGGACTGGGCAGGGCAACAGCGGGGTTTCTGCAGAAATCACTGCTCCCTGGTCTCACCCAGTGGTCCTGTCCCAGCCACGGGTCACCGCATGTTTACAGGAGAATCAACACACCCGATCACAGAAATGATGAACTATCAATGATAAACATCACACAAACGAGCATTTCGGAATTTGTGATTTCTTCTTTCAATCTGGACTGTCTGGTTCAGAATATGCACAAAGCAAGTGCTGAATGGAAAGACGAGAAGAAAACACCACACTGGAAACTCGTGATCACCTCCGGGTGGGGGACTGTTGACACTTTCAGTTTCTTCTTTATACTCATTGTTTTTTCTTAATTTTCTGTAAGTGTATATGTCACTTATTATCAAGGAAAACAGTTATTTTTATAATGGCTCTTGTAAAGCAGAAACAAAGGTAAATGCCAAAGCCGATGAATGCTTGACCTGAATAGCTCAGGAAAAAGACAACTTCGGACTGTTGTGTATGAGAAAACCCCAACTTCCCATTAGAGTTTACGTCTAAATAGAACCACCCTGCCTGGCCCTAGACAACTATTTTGTTAGAAAAAATCCTCATAATACAAATAATACAAGTGTTAGAAATATTTGTTACTTAGACATGTCAACTAACACATGAAAGCACACGTTTCTCATATTTTAATTTTGAAAAAAATCCTGAAATCTACTCACTGAAAATTGGAGTATCTCGGGTAACCTTTATCTGGAGTTGGAAAACAGCCTCTATCTCTCAGACCCACAGAGTATCAGAGCCGCTCCAGTCAGGGGGTCTTTATATTTGGAAACTCTTTTCCAAATGCACTGTTAGATGGAATGTGGACAGTTCAAGACGGTGACTGCCGGCGGAGGGGTGGGGGGAACGGGACTTTTCTCTGTTCAATTTCCTCTACCACGGAAGTGTTGGAAGTGTTTTAAAGTATAAAAAAGCTTGAATTGGCAAGGTGTTTTGTAAGTATGCATTTTCGTGGAGGACAAAAGAGCCAAATTCTTGCCAAGTTAAATGCAGCAACTAAGAGCTAGTGGCGAATACTGAAAGGCGAGCATTGATACCTTTCCTCTGGTCCTTCCGAGCCAAAGGCAATAGTACTGCTGAGATGGCTGGCCAGGATGGACCGGATCCATCGGGCCGCTCTTCCTGAGTGCTACAGAAAGTACGGCCCCTCTGCAGGTGCAGGTGCAGCTTGGGGTCCCATATGCCAATGTATCTTCTTGTTGGGGGCCCTTCTGTACATCACACATTCCAGCAGAGCACTTTGGGGAATGCCTTATTTCGTAGATACTAGGAGGCACATCCCCCTCCCCCCCCACTACTGTATCTGAAGTAGGCATGTGCCTTAACAACCAATGGAGTCTTAACACCACTCCTGGCCACAAGCCATTGTCATGGGTCATATTCGTGAATATCAGGACACACGTACAAAACTTGCAAAACGAATGTCAACATCTCGGAAGAAAATCCTGGCAACAGTTGCGGAGTATGCTGTGACCACTCAGAACTGGGACTGTTGGGTTGAAAATAACTCACTTCACACATCCATCAATAACTATCAAGCTGACTTAAAAGCCTGCTACCCCTGGGCGTTGGCTCTTTTATTCTTTTAAATGCTGTATCACAGGGCCCTGAGGGCACAGAAGATGACGCTGTGTGGAGAAGCAGGGCCTCAGCAATGCACAGAAAGTCATTCAGGGAATGTAAAAAGGGTTGTGTAATAGTTACCCAACCTAAGTAGGTTACATTTCCTTTCCACATATGCACAAATTAATATAAGACTGAAATCTCTCTCTGTAGTCAATGTCAATGGTCTATTCCAATGAGGGAGGGAAAATCTAAGTTATAGAAAAACAGTATAAAAATTTTACTATTAAACAAATTTAGTGCACACAAAGGCAGTATAAAATAATAGTGTCTTACAGTTCATGAACTGGAATACAATCTCCTTGCAGTCAGTAAAAAGGTAGAACATTCCCGGTAAGTACCACACACACACACAAAAAAACCCACTCTCTTGGCGGCCTTACCTGTAAGCCGCAGCAGCCCACGGCGTTCATTATGGAGGCGTTGTGGACGACTTGGTAAGGGATGCCCAGCTTCACGGCCCTCAGGACCAGATCACTGTGCGTGGTGGCCCTGGCGTGAGAAAAGGTCGGGCTGGATTAAGGTCACCAACACTGACTTTCATTCCTTGAAGTGACCCTCCCACTCGCGTCAATGGGAGGGTCAAGGGCACTGCTGTCCTCGTTTCTGGGCTTTCTGGCAGTGCAGCGCTGCACCCGGAACACCCCGAGGGCAGCCTCAGCAGCTCCAGCAGTGTTCGTGCTCCTGTGCCCCGTGGGCACCTGCACTGACACCTGTGGGGCGTGAGCTTGGCTCCATGGCCCAAATGGCGGTGCAGCTGGACCTGCTTCTTGACTTCTGCCCTATTTGGAGGGTTTGGTTTTGTATTTGAAACCAAACGTGCAGAACACGCTGGATGTCTTCACAGCCTGCCAATCTTTGCCTGTAATTAGAGTTCTAGCTGATAGGCTCCTGGTTGGGTTTTACACCTGTGTAGCAGGTGTGTCACTCACAACTGTCTTCCTGTGTGTGCACATTCTGCCTCTTGTGCCCTCACTGGGAATGGAACCAGCCACCTTTGGGTTCACAGGCCGGTGCTCAATCCTCTAAGCCACACTGGCCAGGGCTGAGCTAAATCTAATGATGATAATTAGACAGACTGCGGTGGACAGAGAATGCATGTCAGAGTAAACGCTGAGACTGTGAAATGCAGCGCGGCATCCATTTAGAGCTGCCTTATGAAAGAGACCCCCTCCCCCGGGTGAGAACTCCCGGCCCCGCTGGGAGAGCAGCATTAGCAGGTGTGAGAAAACCGGCGCATGCATACCAAGCAGGAAGATCAAGGGCCGGCACCCCAGGAGGCCGTCACGGGCAGATTAACAAATGCCCACCGGGGAAGCCTGTCTCTAATCATACACACACGACAAAAACTGGTATGAAAACCATTCGTGTGACTCAGAGTGAGCTTTTAAAAAACATTATGGATGCCAGTTGGAAGAAGCATCTGTAATTATCACCACCAACAGAATTTCACTACTTAACACTAAGGCGAAGGAAAACAGGCTCACGTACTTGGTGGGTTATTTAAGTGGATGAGAGGAAAGAGAGCCCAGTTTAAAGCTGTATCTCTCTGTATCACGAGTTCGTTTAAAATGACCAGATGCGGGTGGTGCACTCGGAAGATTTAATGAGCTGGCAAAGTAATTTGAGTTTGTGACACTGACATGTGATTACTTAAGCCCCTCAGATCTCGGCTATAAAAATTGGAGACAAAACTGGTATTTTATCACAATTACCTAGATTATATTGCTGTCACGAAAAGGGAAAAGCCGGGCTGAAACACAGACTGAATCCATCCTACTGAGCACTCCTTCCCATCCGGGTCCAGGAAAACCGCTGCGTTTACGGAGACTGGACGAGAGTCTCCGCGTCTGCACATGCGTCTGCGCGTGCGTACAAAGACAAAGGTGACGGTTCCCAGGAGCGCGGCTCTATTACGGCTACGTTGACAAACACCCGATTGTGGATAGAGCTACACGCCCAGAAATAGTGATAAATTTGTCTTACTATGCTTGTTGCTCGGAAATTGCTATGAGGCAATCTCAAGAGGAGACTTGGGAACGTTTTGACTGGTGGTAACAGTAAAATGAAAGTCACGGTGGCCAATTGGAACGTGTAAGAGCTGGTGTGTTCCTTTAAACTTTATTTCATAGTAACCTTCGTTTGCAGATACTGTAGTGCCATGCTGGGCTGATGACAAGAAACCCCACCGATATCTGCAACGACACGGTGCAGCTGAGGTTCCCATGCTGTTTATGGCAAGCACCATAAACTGGTACCATCCCTCAGAAAAGTAATTTGACAGCCTGTGTTTGAAATGGCCATGTTCAAAACTTCTGAAAATTTTAAATTGGTATTATAAACCTGCTTTGGAGCATCCACCCTAAGAAAATAATCCAAAGCGTGGGGATGGGAAGGTGGGAGAAGAGGGAAAGAATCACAAGCGTTGATCCGTGTGGGCAGCTTTCGCTGCGCTGGGGAGATCCGTGGGCTGACGATGACAAAGCAGGCGTTTTCTGGGCAGGGGCAGGGGCTGCCCGGTTCAACCGCGTCCCCTCAGAGGGAAACAATCCTTACGCATCTCAGTGGGCGTGAGTTAAGTCACAGCTGTACACCTTGGACTTGCAGTGTGGTGTGTCAATTATATGTCGATAAAACTGGCGTGAAAGAGATGAAAGGAGGGGAAGAAGGGAGAACAGGGAAGAACGTTGGTTTCCAGGAGACAGCAGGAGCAGACACATGGGGACCGCCAGTGCCATGGCCCAGGGAAAGGTGCAGCCGTTACAGTCGGGCTGTGGCGGGTCACAGAGAAGAGCGGCCAGACTGTTAAAAGACTTAAGGCTAGGAAAGCCACTGAAGGTGTTCTCTGGGCCTCATTTTCTCATGTACAGGATTTCTCATGTGGACTTCTCCCTTCCGTGGACTTCAGTACAGGCACGCCGTAGGTGGACTGGCAGATTGGACCGGATTCTTCATGTCTGGCCAATGACAGAGCTAATGTTCTCATTTTGAGCCCTTCAAATTGCGGTTTTACAGATACAATCTTGACCCCAGCACAGACAATGAAGGGAGGGTCTGGACCACGCATGGGCTCCCTAGCACTTTAAACCCGTGTATGGGAATGAGGGCGTGGGCTCGGTGCGGAGTGGTGCTGAGATCACAGAGAGGTTAAGAGCCATGAAAACCTCGGTAAAACGAGTCACTGGCAGGGCTTCTCCAGCAGACAGTGTTTTCTTGTGTTCCAAATGGGCTTGGAACAACAGCCTTGTAAAATGCACAGGAAATAACACAACACACAAGCTCCCAACTGGTACGAGTGGATTCGGCAGAGGTGGGTGCCTTTTGTAAAGTGCTACCCAAGTTTTACCCCTGACGTCTGGTATCCCCTCCCAGGGACCAAGAGGTGCACAGGCAGCTCCACCTGGGGCAGTGCTGGCTCACGGGCTTCGTCAGTGACCGGGCGCCGTGACAGTCAGAGACCCCAGATTACGTGTTTGGGTGACTGTGGGAACTGTGATGCCATGGAGCTGGACGTCTGGGTGAGGCAAAGGACACCACGGAAAACGTGGATGCTCTGGCAGAGTCCGCTGTGACGATGAGGAAATTCTGCAGGAGTTCTAAGACCTTTTATACAGAGGATTTCTTATTACCCTTCTTGTATTTCACTGGTTCGTGGCCAAAAAAGGAAGACAGGTACTTCCTTTGGGGGAAGACTTACTTTTACCGAAAACAGTGTCAGAGGCTAAAATTAAACTCCTTAAATCGTTGTAAGTCTATGACAATCCAGTATCATCTGCAACCAAGTCTAATGAAGATACACAACCCCTGGGGCACCACATCGACATAAATCACATTCTTTCTGACAGACGCGCGCACACGCAGCTCCATTCTTTTGAAAACATCCTTGGTGGTGGGCTCACAGGGATTCAAGTGTCAGTACATCCCTTAAATCTGTGACATACATCTCGGGTCATGAGCTGGAGACAAAGAACTCTCCCATCTGGCTCGACATCAGAGATTGATGACGCCTGACCAGGCCAGCGGAAGCCCACCTTCTTAGTGACCAGGAGGGGCAGGGCTCCCAATGTACAGGAGAAATTGAAATCTGAGGCTTGATGGATGATAAATTCAAGGCAAGGAAAGTGATGGCAATATTGCTAAATATTAGATGATTAAGAAAGAAAAAGACGCCTAGACAAAGGAAGCAGAAGGTGCTTGCAGTTCACCCGCCAGACACAGGGCAGGTGTGGCACTTGATCCGGTCACACACCTATTTAACAGTGACACACCATTCAGGGGTTTGATGCTGGAAGTGATCTTCTAAAAGACACTTGATCAACAACAGAGGCGATACATACAGAGGCGAGAACGATCACACTCTTGTCAAGTATCTTTTCTACATCAACATCAGAGGTAATGAAACTACAACACTTTAGGCAGAGCCTATGTTAACCGAGTCCTTCATCGAAACCTGGTGAGTAAAAGGTTTTAAATGCAACGGAATGATTGTTACTGATTTAAAACAACAAAAGTAAATACAAGGAAAACTCAACTGTCTGCTTTGACTTACCCAAAGGGATCCCCAACCACGAGGAATGCAATGTCGGTGCTGTCGGCATCCTTTAAAATATCGTCTGCTCGCTGCTCCACGTCTTCTCTATCAGCAAGAATCAGCTCTCTTCCATAGAACTCTTCCTACGGAAGTAATGCCAATATCCGAGTGAGACAGCAGGTGACCACGGCCACACACATGCGCGCACACACGCACACAGAGCAATCTCTGGGGCTGGTGTAGTCTTGGCAATGCCCCAAACACAGACCACTGCCTAGAACTCACCAGCATACATGATGTTGTCATTAACCTTGGTCTTTGGGGCAACGTTCATATCCCAAGAGGAGGTCAATTTCTTAACATCTGAGGCTTTTTGCATTTTCATTTCACCTCTTAATTTGGGTCCAACCGGTCAGGCAGAACACGGCAGGACGAATACAGAACATGTATGTATGTATACACAGTAATACAGGGTAAATATATTAAAAAAATAATCATAAACGTGCATGGTAGTTTGGGTTGTATTCAATTTTCCATGGGCCCCTGGCTAAAATAAAAGGTACCATCGATGAGAAAGGAGAGAGTTAAGATGTAGATGTAAGTTGTTGACAGAAGCAGCAAGCATTCCCGTATGATTGCAGGAAGGACTCATTTACAACTGTGTTTCCTAGTTCCTGCTCAGAAAGGAAGAGTGGCGATGGCGGGAGCGTTCTGACACACAGGAAGCCCTCACGCAACGTGCCCGGAGAACCAATGCCCCGCAGCCTGCCCTGGAGAGCAAACCCAGGGGCTGCCCTGCCCTGGGGGGAGGCGCCCAGGTGAGGACAGGGCCCGGGGGCTGGCGGTTGTGCCACGGTGGTTACGGTGGTTACGGCTACTACCAGGGTCAAGAATCTTACGACCGATTTCCTGTGGTGTAATATGCAATTCAAATATAGTCCAAGTGGAGGCACAGCTCAATAATACTATTTCCTACCCACCGAGGAGGACGGCCGTGACAGAGGATGCCTGGTCCTCGGGGGTCTGTCGAGCAAGTGACTAAGTGAGCAAACGCATGAGCGTGTGAAGACCAAGTGTGATGGACAGTTCTTCTTTGAGGCTTCACTAGAATCTGTTTCTCGAAGGTGGAAAAAGATCCTTTTTTTTCCTCTGTGATCCTTAATGTTCCAAAAGTTCCCATGACAGGATATTTTTACGGATGAAAAATGTTCTCTTTATTTTCATCTCTACCACACAGTTTCTTAATCACCAATTCTTATATACCTTTAATTTTACGAACCCAGTCAACTTAACAGTTGTAGACCGTTTATATTCACATTCAAGAGAACCCAAAAATTAGAGAAATGAAGGAAATGATGGTTTTTTTCTGAACTTTTCAAGATCAAAGAGCCACCCACCACTAGCTTAATGCTAGCAGCAATCTATATTTTATAAATGGCTTACGAATAGAAAGCACCCCGTCCAAGACTTCTTCACACATCACTCCATATTTACCATTTATCCTAATTTAAGAAATATTTCATTATATAATCGAGACAATAAAACATTTAAAAAAAATGTTCTTTAAAGAGAAACATAAACACCTCGATGTGATCACGTGGCTGGTCCTCTTGAAAAAATATCTAAGAAAGAGGAGAGACAGCCTGGGCTGATGTGGCTCAGTAGATTGAGCGCCAGCCTGCAAATCAAGGGGCTGTCGCTTCAATTCCAGGTCCAGGACACAGGCCTGGGTTGTGGGCCAGGTCCCTGGTGGAGGGCATGTGAGAGGCAGCCACACATTGATGTTTCTCTCCCTCTCTAAAACAAAAATTTAAATCTTAAAAAAAAAGAGAGAAGAGATAGCAAAAGCAGTAAAGAGACTGGTATTATATTATTTTTCATTTACCCACTTATTTGTTTATTCACTTGAACAATAGTTCTTTTTATTTAATTTATTGGGTGACATTGGTAAATAAAATGATACAGTTTTCAGGTGCACAACTGCACAATACTTCATTTGCACACTGTGCGGTGTGTTCACCACCCCAAGTTCCTGTCCATCACCACTTATGGCCCCTACATCCTCCTCCACCTCTCCCTGCCCACCCTGCCCCCAGAAATCAGACATGTTCCTCATGCGCAGCCTCTGTACCAGACCCTATGCTTGATGGTGGGGAACAGCAGTCCGGATCTTAAACTTATGTTGTTCTTGACCCAATGCCCAGGTAGCCGACTGCGGTAAAATCCCAGCCTGGTCGTCTCCATTCATGAAAAGGAAGATGAAACTCAAAATTCACTCTTGGCTTGAAGTTGGCAAGTTTTGTATAGGAGGGAACAGGGTAAAAACTGTAAGTTCAAATTACTTTTGGGTATTTCTGGGAAGATACACAAGAAATTAGTAATGACTCCTTCCAGGAAGGGGTACTGGGATAGAAATCTTTGGATGCATAGAGCTTTACTGTCCTTTGAATTTTAACCATTTCACGTATTATTAACTAGTCAAAAAGCAGAAGAACAGAGACCCAAAGTAGTATATAGAAACAAACTGGAACCCAAAAACCTAAAAAAAACCCCCAAACCAAAAATCCCTTCTAACATTTAAAGATGACATAGACAAATCAGGAGCTTACACAGGGGACTGAGAAAAACTGAAAAGTAGAAGTAAAACCAAGAGGAAGGTGTGTCTTGAATGCCGGGTTCCAGGAGCGGTCAACTCTGTCTAACAAAAGAGGTGAAGCAGATGAGAATTTGGAGCTGTCTCCGGAGTTCTCAGCTTCTGAATAGTTGGTTGACAAACAGAAACGTTTCAGAACAATGGAAGTCAGCCTGCAGGACTGAGACATGAGTAGTAGAAATGAGGGCCATAAAAGTACCTGCTTTTTCAAAAAGCACTGGAAAAAAAAGAGAATAACTGTTGGGAAAAAGGCTTAAAAGAGGAGAGTTTTCAGAATGGACTATATAGGAATATGCCTCAGGCCCAGGGTAGAAGGATATTCATGCAGATTGAACATAAGAAAGAAAGAATAATTGATGGGAGGTTAAGTTTCCAGAAAAAGAGGGAGAAAGAAGTTGGCAAAACACACATCTAGACGGAGTCCATCTTGAACAGGAAGGGAACCTCATGTCACAGGTCATTTCCTAAGACTGGAGGGAAGACAGGTCCAATTGCCGGTAAGGACAAATGGGGAAATGTTAGCAAAGGTCACAGCTTACGACCTCGGTTTTCTCAGCGCGAAGTCCCTTACTGTCCTCTTCTCTGTCCCTTAACATCAACCCACGGCCGGTGGACAGGACCAGGAAATAGTGGGCCGGCCTCCAAGTGCAACAGGGTAGGAAGAAAAGAGAGGGAACAGACCCACCCGGAGAAAATGGAAGTGGTTTCAGTTACGCTCAAGAACGAGTAGAGTGAATTCGGGCTCTTCTCCATGCTGTTGCTCACAATTCTTTCACCTTCAGCAAAGAGTGGTCGTCTTCTTCCCCTTGTCTGATCTTATCTACAATAACAATACTTGTGATAACTCACTGACCTCACTGTGATTGGGCACTGTTCTGGGAACTTATGTATGCAGGAGTTCGTTTAATCTTTACCACAATATGAGACAGGCTCAATATTTATCCCTTTTACAGATAAGAAGAGCACAGAGAAGCTAAGTGCCTGCCGGAGTCACAGAACCTTAGTTGACCGCACAACATCACACGTGTTACAAAGGCGCGTCACCTGGAGGGCCACAGCGATCCCTGCCCTCTGCAGATAGTTGGGGACCCCAAAGTTAGTCCCCTTTAGCCATTTACCCTGCAGAGCTGTATAAATGTGACCATCTTCTATTTGGACCATGCTGTAAGTAAAGCAAAACAAAACTGCTGGATGCATTATTTTAAAACACAGCTCAAAGGCTGTCTATTCCGTAGTATTCCCGACCGTCATCACAGCATGGAGCGATCTTGTCTCTTACATGTATTCCAACTGTGATTAATGACTAGTTAATTATTGAATGTGAGGCAGCCTCTATTATCTAGTCGATGAGAGAAAGAATGTGGACTTAATAAGATCATCTAAATTTTTTCCAGCAATATAATTTTATAGTTTCCCCTTTCCACTGTGAATTATTACTTACATCTCCCACTATTTACGGATTCCTGGGTATGATATAGACACATCATAAACCACTTGCGAACAAAAACCATAGTTTACATCTCTGTATAATGCACGTGGGTACATTACAACGAAGGCATGTAAGTTCATGCTTTATCCACAGAAATTGCCTAAAGAAGTCCGGTTGTATATACTAAAGCGAAAACTTTTTCCTGGATTCATCGGTTCCAGTTTTATTAACTTTCCTGCCCTTTTGACTCTGAATCTGAGAGGACAGAGGACTTGGAATGCATTAGGTCACTGTTTTGTTTGGAAGACTTCAGACACCAGGCGGTCCCCAAATTCCCTCCTTCCTCCTATAACTAGCTCATTGATCTTTTCATCTTAATTTACATTGTACTTGGTATTCGATTATGAACCCGAACTTAACCCCTCCTCCAAAACTGAATGAGCCTTTAATGACAGCCAACTCTGATGTATGATACACCCACAAATGCTATGGTTGCCACCTCCCAGGATCACTCAGTCCGCACAGTTTGGGTATCAGCCTTACTGAAAGATGTCTATTTAAAAGTAAGACCCCTCTGGAGAGATACAGGCAGAAAGGCGTTACCATTCCCTACGGAAATACTTCAAAGGCGGAAGCTCTCAGCTTGGTTTCTGAATATATAACCAAGTCATTAAGGCTGTGTCAGCTCCTCATTAGCACTCAACTCAAAAAGGATTCCTTGGCTATGTCATGTAATAGGGGATTATGATAACTATCCCCAAGAGTGTAAAATAACTTCCCTTTCTTATTTACTGGAGAAAGCTGCCACATAAGACAATGAACGCTCTCATTTCCTACGTCACTTGGCTGGTGCAAGATTTCCATTCTCATTCTCCCCAAATGCTTAAGAAGCAGGGGACGCGTTTTACAGGGTTCGAAAAGCAGACCTGTCAATTCGGTTCCGCTTAGTGTAAGGAAAATCGACTGCAGGGCAGCTTTCTCCCGGGAGGCTGCAGACCCCCAGGCACCTACCAGGGCTTCCTTCCCCACAGTCAGGACAGAGGTGTAGGCTTCCAGGTACACACGGCTGCAGCGTCTCACAACCTCCAGGCCCTTGACTGTGATGTCTTTGGCATCGCCCAGGCCCAAGCCAATGAGGTAAAGCATTTCAAAGTCCAGGGGGAGGGAAGCTGCAGGAAAAATGAACAAGAACACGTGTCAGCTACCCCGAGGGCACCCGAAGTCTAGGGCTGAACACGAAGATGAAAACCCAGCAGCAGGAGGAAGAACCGCAGGTCTCAAGGAGTGAGACTGGGGAGTCTTACTTCCACCCTGCTTCATAAGGATCGGAATAAATGCTCTTAAGCAACCCTGTCCCGTTTTCTTTCTTGTTACACAAACCTAGCAGCCGACAGTCACCCGGGGAGAGGATCGGCGTCGGGGTCCCGTCCTTCCCAAATTGCAAAGTGCCGCTCTTCCGAAGGAGCGGATCAGTGCCTAACGAGGACCCACGCGGCCGCTTTACCTGCGGTGCCGCAAAATGCCGACGCCTTTACGGCACTTTACGGCGGCTACCGTGCGGCGCGGAGCTGGTGAGCGGGTCGGGAGGTCGGGTGCGGGTTGGACCCTGGTTGACCCTGTGGCTGCCGGGGAACGGAGGTTAGTCCATTTAGAGCCCTCAGCGTGGCTTTTGGGGAAGGGCGAAGCCGGTGTCTTCGGTGTCTCGGACTTAGGACGGGGACATGAAGGATTCTGTGTTCCTCCGGACCCCCGACGGGAGGGATTTCCCCGGGGCAGCGTCCCTTTCCCGCTCGAGTCTAGCCGCCCGCCTCCGCGGTTGGAGTGTGCGCTTGGCACCCCCGGGGCCGTGGGCAATGTTTCCGCCTATTTGTCCCCGAGACCTGATTGGGGGAGTCCCTCGGGGCGCTATCCGAACTTCCTGGGACCTCCTTGGGTTCGGGCCTCCCACACCCTCTGTGCTGGAGAGGTGACCTTTGAGAGGGCTCGGGGACTTCAGATCTCGCCCCAGGGGTTTCCTCCGGGGAAATCCTGTGGAGTAGATGCTGAGAAGTAGCTTGGAGATCGGAGATGCCCCTCGTGAAGTCACCGGCGGCTGCATCCAAGGCGCGGTCCAGCTTGCCGATCTGAGTACATGGTGTTGATTACTCAGAATTCTCCTGCTGTTTTCCCCCCCTTCTCCCCCCAGTTGTCTTGTGTCTCGCCCCGCTCTGCTCCCTTACGCCTTGACTTGTTTTTTCCCTGGGTCCCATCCACCCTTTGCGCGTATTCTGTCCCCTCTTCATTACATGGGTCCATCCTTCACACTATAAACAGAAGTTAATTTCAAGGGCATCGTAGACCTAAGTGGAGAAACATAAAACTATAGAACTTACAGGCGAGAACACAGGTTGGAAGTATTTGTGAAATTATGTAGGCAAAGACTTCAGTTGCCTTATCTGTGCAGTGGAGCCAGCAGTACCGTGGGTCACAGAGGTTTGGGGAGGATGGATGCAGGAAGGCATATCAAGGGCTTAGCCTGCTGCGGTGCCAGACAATCAATAACCTTGACATATTGCGATAGACTTTGAAGTCAATTTTATAGTGATCCAGTGTCCGTCAGATTATAATAGGACAATTAGCATCTTCCCTTTCACCTGGATTGGTTCTTACTCTTTCCCGTTCACCGAAGTTCCCTGAAATAATTACGCAAGTTCATCCACCATAGATGAAGTGTTTTATTCATTCACAAAGGGTCTTCTTAAGAAACCATTATTATGCTCCAAGGTACTCTTTGTTTTTAAAAAACTTGTTTTTTAAAACAAGTTGAGCACTGTAGATTGGGTTGGCGTCCCTGAAAGTGTCGACTTGACAATTTGCTTCAAGTAGCAGATGCTGCAGACGGGGTTTATTTCTTAGTATTTTAGTGCAGTTTACCAGCGAGCAGAGAAAATGTTCACCTGGGGCCTAAAAAACTAATTTCTTAAAGCTTTTTAGCTTTAAGAAGCTGCAGTAGCAGACCCCTTGCAGATGGGCCGTCGCCACTGTGGCAAAGTCCGCAGGTTCAGAAGTACAATTTGATGCCTGTGAATGTGTACCACCATGTGCCCACCACCTAGGTCAGGATGTAAACCCTTTGGCCATCACAGAAGGCTCCCCCTGACCCCTCCCAGGAGGTGCCACTCCGCCCCCCCCAACAGCCCTCATTATTTGACCTTCGTGCCATAAATTGGTGTGTCTGTACAATTGCAGTCATGGTGCAGTGACCTCTTTCATGTCTGGCTTCTTCAGCATGACGTTAGTTCATCCATGTTGTTTTATATAGCAGAAGTTTCTTTTTTTTTTGCTGAATAGTATTCTCCCGCGTGATGTGTCATAACTTCGTTCTTTTTTTATTGTTGTTGGACATTGGAGTCATTTTAGTTTGGGGTCAGTATGGATAAATAAATCTGCTGGGAACATTGTTATATCTGACTTCTGTTGAACATAGCACTCATTTCTGTTGGATCTTGTGCCCAGGAACTGGAATTGCTAAGTTATAGGATATATGCGCTTTTACCCTCATAAACGGTGCCGGCAGCTTTCCAAAATGGACAGCTTGCAGTTCCACTGTCTGCTGGTGAGAGTTCCAGTCTCTCTGTATCCCTGCCCACACGTGGTATTGTGAGCCCTTTGAATTTTAGTGGGCATGTGGATATCTCTCTGTGGTTTTACTTTGCAGTTCCGTGATGATTAATGATGGTAATCACCTCATGTGCCATTGATTTTTCTAAGTAAATTTTTGTTTTTTAAAGGCAAAAGTATTTCCCCCATCAGAGTGTTATTTCAGTGCTGGGTCTGTACCTGTGAGTAAACCCATTTTCTACTAAGACACTGTCACCTCTAGCACAGTGACTGTGTGGCCTGAAGAATAAAGTGATACCCAGGGAGAGCCCCACGATTGGGGCGCCCTTCATTCTAGCCCTGCTGCCAGAAGCCATGTGAGTTTGGACGATTTGCCATCCCAAGGTGAATGCTTTAATCCAGATGATTTCTCAGACACACAGGAGGATACAGGAACCTCCCTTTGTGGAAGAAGTGGGCTGGAATGGGAGGATCCCAGATCAGCAGTCAGCTCAGCCTGGGCTCTGCAGGACTTTGCTTTCTTTTATGGGACTAACCCCCAAAGTAAGTCTCTTCCTTCTCCTCCTCCTCCTCCTCTTCCTCCTCCTCCTCTTCCTCCTCCTCCTCTTCTTCCTCCTCCTCCTCCTCTACCTTCCTTTAACAGATTTTGATGTGAAAATAAGCAATACCGTAATTCCTTATGCCAGGAACTTAGCATAACCAAAATATAAGAAATCTTAAAACCGTATAAGTTGTTATTCAATGTGTGTGCTAATCGTCTGTGTGGTCCTTGGTTCCTCTACTTTAGCCGTGTGGTCACTTACAATATGGACAGATACTTGTTCCCATGATAAATCTAGAAACTTTTTAAACCAAAATGAAACCCCTGTCTCTATCAAACTGCAGAATTTGCACAAACTTAATTTTCTTGGAGTGGATTTGGTTTCGAGTTTTCCAAAGCCAAGGCAGGCAGTGGGGTATGATTCACCCTAACCTCATTTTCTTGCATTTGGCTTTGTTTATTTGGGTTTTTTGTTTGTTTTGCAGTAAATACTTTTTGTTGTGACTGATAGCAGTGTTTCCTTGCAGTATTTTTAAACTACGCACTGTCAGAACGCATTCCATTTTTTTTTTTTAAAGAATGGCTTATTTGGATCCAGTCTCATATAGAGTCTATTTTAATCATATCTTTGCTTCTGGCTATTCCTCATCTTTGGGCATTCCCTAAATTATACTTGCTGAAATTCTAATGGTAGAGTCCGCACTGTTGTTCATTCCATGTATACCAGTTGCAGAAACAGTAAGAAGTTGTAGTTGGAGCCTGGGCTTCAGGGTGAACTGCGGCACTTGAGTCTGATTCCTCTTATCGCAACGGGACTTTAGGAAAGTCCCTGAATTTTCGGGTGACCTGTGTGTGGAATTCAGATAATAAAGTCACTTTTCTCCTAGAATTGTCATGTGGATTAAATATTTGACAGCCTCGAACAATGCCTCATACTCCGTAACCACTGTGTAGATGTTGGCCGCCTTTGTGAACAGTCCGTCTTCGGGGGTGAGGGTGAGCGTGCAGTGGAAGCCCGGGCGTGTGCCCCGAGGTCTGCAGTGCAGTCAATACGAGTGGTGCTCTCGCCACACGGGTTTTCTCTGGCTGGTTGGCTGTACACAATTTCTGTGTGTTAAGCAAAATTGGGACCGCTCTCCCCACCCCACAAAAAAAGTGAATTTACAAGGAGGCTATTTGGTGCTCAGAAGACATGAGTTTCTAGGTCTTCTGGAAGAAGAAGCTTTTTCCAGAATCTCAAAGGTTTTCAAGGTTATAATGTAGCTGACATGCTATTGGTAATGAAAGAAGCAATAACTGGTATTAATAACTTTTTAAAGATACTAAAACTTTAAAAATTAAAAAAATGAACTTTTTTTCTTAAATGACGATATGACGACCTGGGTCAGTCCCTCACACTTTGCCCTTGGGTCAGTTCAGCCGCATCCATCGTGGGGCTTGTCTGGGGTGGGGCGGTGGGAGACTCTGGGACCCACTCGGTTCAGAGAGAGGCGGCGAGACTCCTTCCTCACCATCAGAACCGTGCCGATCTGGATGTGTGCCTCACGGGGCACCGTCTGGGCCCCCGTCTGGCCTCCCTGCGTGTCTCAGTTGCAGAGTGTCCTGCCTGGTACCTACGTGGTCCCTCCCGCGTTACTTCCAGGGGGTGAGCCACACGATGGATGCCCGTCTGCTGAGAGGCTTGACTCCTCCTCGCCCTTGGCCTCATCACACCATGAATGCCTTCCCCTTCACAAAACAAGACCCCCCCCCAAAAAAAAAGCTGCTACTGCCCTGCGGGAGACGGTCAGCTCACTGAGGACGAACAGGCTGAGCACGGCACAGCCTCGGGGAGCGCCGTTCCCTCGGGGGTGGTGGCCTGGGGACTGTTGCTTGTGGCTGTGCTCCCGCTTGAGTGGACACCTGGAGCTCGCATCACAGGTTACTTGTTAGGTTTGGTTTTGAATGAGTGATTCCTGCCGTCCCGTCACATGGGGTGGCGGCGCTTCTAAAGGGGGGTCTTCACGGGACAGCAGGTGCGGAGACCGTTGCCGGGTGTTTGTAGTTTTCTGTGATTATCTGATTTACCTGCTTTGTGTCTTGCTGCTGGTCACTTTGTCCCAACTCTCAGCACCGCTCACCGCCGTGTGTGGCCGGCTCCACGCGGAACACTGCGCCTTCCTTCTCCATCCCTCATCCTTCAGTGCCAGTGCGAAGCCCCGCCCACCCACCCACCTCACCTGCGCGGCACTTTCTCACCTGCCTCTTCTGGTTCCCTCTGATAGCCCGTTACTGCTACACGTGACTTCTGTTAGACTACACGTTCTATTCGTCCGTGGGTCCCCCGTGCCTCCGGGCCGGCTGCGTGAGTCTTTGCAGGACGCCTGTCGAGAGCAGCGCAGGCGGAGGTGCCCAGTGGAACCCAGGGCGGAGGCGAGGATCAGGGAGGGGACTGGTCCCCAGTCGCTGTGACCGTGCGTGAGGGCCAACCAGTCTGGAATGTCCTCGGTGGCAGAGCCGAGTTGAGACGTGTCGGCTGTGTACTCACCGTGGCTGACCATGAGCACGGTTGAGTTGGAGGCGAGGGCAGGGGTTGGTTAGAAGCTGCTGTGCCTGCCTTAGAGGTTTGTGCCAGCTGTCGGGAGAGCAAACTCAGGTGCCGGTCAGCAGTGCTCTGCACTCATTGGAGTCGTGTTTAAAACCACAAAGAAACGGATCCTAGAAAAGCGCTCATTCAGTCTTTCCGGGACGGCCTCACATTTAGTTATTGTAAACGTAAACTTCATTTCATGGTGAAATTCCCACGAAACTAGGATGAGCTGCGGGGTTTTCCTTCCCCCCTGTAACCAGCTGGACACAGGAAGAGGTAGCATTTCTGCAAGTCACTGGCAACACTTGGACACCCCTTTCCCAGAAGCCCCCTGAGAGCTGGGCTGCCCCCTTTCCTGAGGATTGCGGGTTCGACAGATGCGTGCACAGCCAAGAGCGCTCACCGGGAGCGGAGATTTAGCCCGGTTCCTTCCACAGCTAATTGGAAACCTGATGACACCTAGTTGGCTTATCTGCACCTGATTTAATACGAAACACCATTTGTTTAGAGGAATGCATTGGCCATGTGTCCCGTCCTCTCCAGGAGTAAGAAAAGCATAGTTCCTGCTGGCACCCTCTAGAGATGCTACCCGAGTGGCAAACAGCCCGATGTAGGGCTGTGCTCTCGGGCTGACCTGGTCAGGTGCAGCGGTGCTCGGGGTGCAAGGCTCGCTGGGGGGGAGCGGGGGATGCGACGCACTGTGCGCAACACTGGTCCAGTAGCCTGGCCTAACTCTGTTCTTCTCGTAATGCCTAGGGGACACGTGGAATCTCTTTCTGGATGCTCGACTGGTCACCAGATGGCCAGAGTCAGCTTTGTCGCTGTTTGGGGAGCTGCACCGGTGGGGTGTTGTCCAGGGACCCTAACTTGGTGCAGCCGGGACGGCCTTGCAGACGGACTTCGGCCTCATGGACACCTTCCTGGATTTCCTGGTTTACCACAGAACCAGTGTCTTAGCACTGACCGGCCCTCACTACACTTGCCTTTCCTGAGACACACAAACTCGGCTGCCTTTTTGTCAACTTGACTGGCGTCGGGGAATGGCAAAGAAGGTGCGCTCTGACCGGGACGCCGCTGCCTGCTTTCAGATGCCGGTTTGAAGACACGTGGGGAGCGGACAGTGTGGAGAGGTAAGTGGGTGTGGTTGCCTAGGCCCCTGGAACACCTGGGACACCCCAACCTTGCGCACTGGCTCCTGGGACTCTTCCGAGCCCTGCAGACACAGGGGCCCCTGCGAGCCCGGCTTTCGGGGCTCACCTCTTCCTAGTGACCTGTCCTTTCTGTGCGCCACAGGCACTCACTGCTAGTTAAGCCGCAGCTCACGGCCTGGAGACGGGCGTACTGTGCACGGAGACCTTTGCCGAGGCCCCTGCAGCTCATCGCTGTGTCGCAAGCCTGTATTTTCAGTTTTGGTGTTTAGCCTACGGTCGCACTCCTTTCTGATGTTGCTGAACAGCCGCAGGTTTGCTGTAATAATGAGAAGATTCTCGCTCTTGTTACTGTCGCCTCTTCCTCAGTGCCCTTCCGGTGAGTTCCTGAGCTTGGGCTGCAGGGGCCACAAGGTGGCTGCTGCCCTTGGTCAGACCCTTGGTCAGCGAGCGCCCGTTCCCGGGAGTAGTTGACCTTGAGTCGTGACGTCAGTGCGGCTTCTGCAGCGCCCCCCCACTGCCCCCCGTGGTGCCTGTCACCCAGGCCGCAGCGGTCCTCATCATGGGTGAACGTGGGTCCCTCGCCCTTTCTCTGGCTCGCTCTGCGTCTCCTCCCTCTCTGTGATGTCACCTGCGCCCTCCCCCGCTGGCCTTTTCCCCCCAGTGTGTCACAGTGTGCCCCTCCTCTGACCTTTGCCCCCTCCAGCCATGGCCCACTACAGCTCCTGCTCGATCACATTCGTTCTCGTTGCCCCCAAATCACTTTTTGGGTGACGGCTTCCCTGTCCGCACGTGCAGTCTCTTTCCCGCTCGGCCAACTCGCAGATTCAACCCCCGCCTGCTGTGCTCCGTCGTCCCGCGGCCTCCGAGCCTGTGCAGCACTGACCTCTCCGCCCCCCAGAAGGGGCTCCCCAGGGCGGGCCCCTCACATACCTCCCTGTGTCTCTCGATTCTGATTCCTTCTTTCTGTCCCGATTCCAAGGCCTTACTGTTTTCCTGCAGAATTCCCTCTTCCCTTCCTCAAACTGATTCCAGTCTCCTCTGATACGGAATCTGTTCATGACTCTGCTCCAAAACCTCTTCTCTGCAACACACCTCCTACCACTCTGTCCCTGCCTGAAATCCTGCGGTGCTTCCCGCCGCATTGAGGACGCGCCCACGCTTCTCAGCCTGGCAGATGGGAGGCGTTCCGTGTCTGGGCCCCGTGGCTTGGAGCTGAGACCGGGAGCACTCCACGCCGCCGCTCACACCGCCCTGGCTCCGAGTCTCGGCCCCCTTCCCCACACCCACGCTGACACTTCAGGCCAGAGGTCTCTCCTGCCGCATCTCTTCCTCATCCTCTCCTCTGGCGTGGACGCACTTCCTGGCCCGAGTTCCTCCCGCGCACCAGCCAGTCCCACCACAGGGGTCTGTGCCCACCTCCCCGCCCTGCCGCACGTGGTGCACCTGTGGTCTGCACCTGATAAAAGCGTGTCGGGTGAGACTGTCTGACGTCCGATTTACTTCACAGATGATCGCCGTTGTCCACGGTTGCAGTACATGTTACAGATTAGGTGATGCAAAATAGGGTGACTCTGGAAAGGGCCACAACCCTGTGCACACGGAGCTGGAGGGAAGGGGAAGCGGGCCAGGTGTGTGCTGGTGGCACCCGCAGGAGAGCCTTTTCACCGTGGTATCTATACCGGCTGCTTCGGGTCAGGCCCGGCTTCAGCGGCGAAGGGTACCGTCCCCCACACTGCCCTCGTTTCAGCTCCGGCTGCAAGCTTGGGGACTCCCAGGCTCCCCTCACGTCCGACCAGCTCGTCCATCACAAATGCGGGGGGATTGAGGACCAACTGGGGCTGCGCACGGCACTCGGGCACGCTCTGCGCAGCTTACGGTTTTCCTAGAGCAGCAGAGGTGCACACCAGGACCAGCCAGAGAGGACACTCGTGGAGGGAGGTCTGGAGGGTCCCCGGTGGGTTGGTGCTGCAAGCTCTCCCCTGTGGGGCCAGAACTCGCTCCCCGCACGCAGACCGACGCGACAGGGCATTGCAGAACTGCTAACCTGGGGGCTCGCCTGAGCCTCCGTGCAGTTTCATTGGGGGCTCCCATAGAGGCATGATGGGCAGCTGGCCATGAGCTGCACTCCACCTTCCCATCCCACTCCAGAGGTGGCGCTGAAAGCCCCACGCTCCCAATTCCCTGGCTGGTCTTCCGGCATGGCCAGCCGTGGCTCTGAGTCACTGGTTCACGGGAACTGTGAGAGCCCACAGTGAGTGACAGACGAGTCACGGGGGGTTCCCGGGATGGGGAGGCTGCCCTGCAGGAAGCTGGGGGAAAGGCCACCCACGTTCTTTATCCAAGTCACAGGCCGTCTAAAACAGCCTGGCCGCCAGAATGCAAATCATGTTGATAGTCCAGAATTGGTGTGCATGTGTCTGTTCTTACCAAGAAAGGACTGTGAGCCCTGGCCGGCGTGGCTCCGCTGGTCGGAGTGTCGCCCCATCACCCAAAGGTTGCGGGTTCAGTCCCCAGTCTGAGCTTGTATGATGCCCGGTCTGGGGGCATACAGGAAGGAACCCACGGATGCCTCTTTCCCACACAGCTGTTTCTCGCTCTCTCCCTCTAAAAGCAATGAAAAAATGTCCTCAAGTGAGGATTAAAAAAAAGAAAGGATGGTGATTCAAAGGAAATGAAAACAGGACATTGAGGGATTCGCCCTCCCATGCATGCTCGTTGCAGTGTCATCCACAGCAGCCCAGGCGTGGAAACGGCCCCAGGGGTCCATCAGCAGGCGGGTGGGGGAGGAAGGCGCACTGGCTCGTGCTCCCCGCTGCGGGATAAGGGACCCCTGCCGCATGCAGCAGCCGGGCAGACCGAAGGGGAGGACAAGTGCTGAGTGCTGTCCCCACGTGTGGGATCCGAGAGGTCGGATGCGTACAAACAGAAGAATGATCACCAGGAGCGGGGCAGGGGACCGTGGGAAGGTCGGTGAGAGGGCGCAGAGTTTCGGTTGTGAAGCGAATGAAGCTGAGGACCTAACGGGTGATGTGACTGTAGCTAACAACACTGTGCGGGATCATTGCAATGGGCTAAGAGGATAAACTCAAATGTTCTCTCCAAAACAGGAAGAAAGAGACCCGCGACTCCTGTGCCGATGGAGCCTGGGTGGCACTTCAGTACCAAATCGACTGCGTGACTTTGCACTTGGCAAAGTCTGCTAGAGGCTGTCCAGACAGGAGAAGTGTACCAGAGTTAGGGAATACTTCCGAGAGAAAAGAGTCAAAATATGTATGTCTGACCAAGGATTCGTATCTGAATAATTGAGTCCCACTTATAGGCAAAACTCCCTTTTCTCCTTTACTCTGGCGTGGCTGCCTGGTACTCCTGACCCCACATGTGCGGGGCTTCCCACAGTGGCCGTGTGTCCGACACTTCGCTGCACGGGTCACGGCTCAGCCATGTGTTTTCCAGCACCGAGCATTTCTTCCAGTCTCAGTAGATACCAGTGGGGTGTCCTATGGCTTAGCTCGGTCCTGACGCTGCCTTCCTGGGAATGGGGTCAGGCCACAGGTTAAGGGCTCAGACCCAGGAGAGCGCCCCCTCCAGAGGTCAGGGGCGAGTCCAGGTTGTGCTTCTGATGGGATCAGAGGCTCCCAGCATCCTGTTTGGGTTTGGTCACTAGAGTATAGGACTCAGAGAAACACGCTCCTTAACTAAATCACTGCTCAGCGAGAAGGGGTATCACTCGAGAACACCCAGATGGAAGGCGCATGTGGGGCGCAGGGGACGGGAGGGGGCCCGGGGGCAGGAAGGGGCCCGGAGCTTTCTTGCTCTCCCAGCATCTCTAGGTGTCCCTGGACCTGAGAGCTTGGAGCCCCTCCTCCGGGGTGTCTGTGGAGGTGCCATTCCTTAGGTGCGACTGAGGGGCTCACCGGCCAGGGGCGGCCTCAGCCCCCTCATCAGGTCAGAGGGAGGGGCTGCGGTTGACAGTTCTGATCCTCCAGTCACGGTTTGTCCCCCTTGACAAGTCCCCTCACTGACAGAAACCCAGGTGTGGCAAGGGGCTTATTGTGAATAACAAGACACTCCTTTGTTCTCTATGGCTCTGGGGCTATTTCATTCAGGGCGTGGTGAGCCGGCCACCTAGTGTAACAAAAGGTGCAGCTGGGAGTTTTACCCAGGAAAGCACAAGGTTTGGGGAACTGTGTGCCAGGGACACTGGCGGAGACCACGTTGGCCTTTCTTGTCATAGGTCACCCACAGCTCCTGTCCCATTTCCCTGCGCACTTCAGTTGTCCATGACCCCTCCTGGGTGAGTTGTTTCCTAGAAAAGCTCACCGAGCTTGAGGGAACATTCGCGTGCACTGGTTTGTGTGACAAAGGGTATAATACAGGGCACACGTGAGCAGCTGGGTGAGGGGATACGCAAGGTGGGGACTAGAAGGGTCCTAAGCGCAGGAGCTCTGTCCCTGTGGCCCGGGGACCACAACCCCCTGCACGTCCCTGTGTCCACCAGCCTGCAGCTCCCCGAGGCGCATCATGTAGGCTCGGTGCCTTGCTGGCCCATGTCCAGCCCCCGCCCTGCTCCAGAGACTGAGGGACGGGCCTGACGGTTCCAAGCTCCGAATCAAGGTCTCCAGTAACCAGTCTCCACCTGGGAGCCCACCCAGCATCCCCTCTGTCACCCAGGAAATTACGAACGTCTTAGGTGCTCTTGGTGGGAAACCCAGGCCAAAGACTAAACATTCACACCAAAGAGTCTCCCAGCAGCCGTCTGTATGGGGGCTTTTAAGTCTGTGTTAGGAATTGGCGGCAGCCAACATACACATTTTGTATTATTTTACCCTATTCGGAAATAGGAGAGTTCAATTTTTAAATGTGGCTGGCATATCACTTCACCAGAGAAAGTTTATTAACGGCCAGTAAGCATAGAAAGAGGTACTCAGCATCATGATTAGTCATTAGAGAAATGCACATTAATGTTGACAATGAGGTACCACTTCACCACTGATTAGCACAGCTAAAATGAAAGAGATCAACGGCACCAGCTTTTGCCAAGGACGTGGAACACCTAGATTCTCTTCGTTGCTAGTAGCACGTAAAATGAAGAAAAAGGACTTTGGAGACTTAGTTGGGAGTTAAACATGCACCTACACTATGATTAACCCATTCGACGCCTCATGTGTGTCCCTCCGAGAGAAATGAATGCAGCGTCCACAGCAAGACTTGTCCACAAGTTTTTGTAGCAGTTTTATTCACAATGGCCCCACACCAGAAGCGGTGCGAATGCCCATCACGAGGAGAATGGATAAAAAACTGTGGCATAATTATACAGTGGAATACCGACCTATAAGCCACTTAAAAATGACGGGCACACAGCAAGATGGGTGAATATTGATGTACTGACCAAAAGGAGCCAAACACAAAGGAATACGTGCTGATTTCCCCCAATTAACTTAGCATTTTAAAACGAGAAAAAAAATCTATGGAGACTGTAAGTATTGCATGTGAGGGGTGGGGCTTTACTGGGAAGCTGCTCTGGGAAAATGTCGGGGGTGGTATCTTAGTTAATTGGTTGTTCGTTACGTGTGTGTGTGTGTGTGTACATTGGTCAAAACCTATCTAATTTTGCCCTGAAGCTCTGTGTTCTTCACTCACCGTACATAAATCTCAGGCACACATGACCTCGTGAAAACATTCCTGGAATAAACTCAAAGCACATTTCGTGCCTGATACTTTAGTTACTGGTATCTCTGTATTCCAGCATAAATGGTGCGTTCTTTTTCATCTGAGTGAAGTCTTTGAATGCTTAGACTATTGGAAGATGTATGAAGACCACCTTAGCATGGTTTGGGGAAATGCTTAGTTCTCAGAGTGAAGCCTGGGACTCCGGTTACATCACTCTGGGTTTTGGTCCTCAGCTGCCTGGTCACTAGTTTTAGACATAACTTGTCTGCTCTCTCACCTTAGGCATTCTTGGGCATTCCTAGGGGTCTCAGTGTTTTCAGCTATTGAAAACTATTCTAGTTTTCAGCTATCTAGACGAGCCATTTTAATAATAACAATCCCTATCTTTTAATCTTCAGCTGTAGGCTAGGAAACCTACAAGGGGCTTCGAAATAAGTTTTTTAATTGGCACAACACTCTTATGAGATACAGGATTGTATAAAATTGCCTGTCTTATAAACGAGGAAATGAAAATTCAGAACATTTAGGTCTGAACTGCACCCTGACTGCCTTTGATTCCAAAGCTGTGAACCATGATGTTATCCTGCCTGTCCATGGGTCCTCTCTCCACGGGACTTTAACGTGCTAACATTCTGCTTCCGGGTCAGAGCAGCAAAGGCGGAGCTGGGTGTGGACCCTAGGAAGCCAGAGGACTTGATCAGTGTCTCCCTTTTATCTCCAAGGCCAAGCACATTTTAGGCCTTGTTGAACTCAAGCAAAAGGAACAAAATAAACTGATACTCTTAAGGAGGATTATTTTTGTCATTCTACTGTCCACTCTTGCCTTTTCCCACCATATTTAGCGGGAATATATAATACACATATTGTATGTGTGTATTTTGCACCATACACATTCAGTGATTTTTACTCACTACAGTTAGGAAATGTTCAAAAATGATCAATTCTGCCTGGTTAAAAAAATTATGCTCGAAGCATTCACCAAAACACATCTATTTAATGTAGAGTAGCTGATAATAAGAGCTTAAGGATCAAGGCCCTGACTGGTGTAGCTCAGCAGATCGAGCGCAGGCCTGTGAACCAGAGGATCACCGTTCGATTCCCAGGCAGGGCACATGCCTGGGTTGCAGGCCAGTCCCCAGCAGGGGATGCACCAGAGACAACCACACATTGATATTTCTCTCCTTCTGTCCTTGCCTTCCCTTCCCCTCTAAAGATAAATAAATAAAATCTAAAAAAAAAAGGGTTTAAGGATCAGAGTGACCTTTCAGCACCTGGGACGTCGGATGAAGATGGTGTTGATGGTGAGGATGGTGGTGGAGGTGGTAACTAGGGAGGAGGGACCGTTGAGGCTGCCTGCCAGTGCCCAGGACCTCAGTGAAGACAAATCCTTGTGCCTGCTTCACGGGCTGTGTGAGTCCCTCTGACGTGAAAACATCAGACCCTTCAGCTGTGAGTCAAGCCCTGCCTGGGCCGTGCAGCTTTGCACTTGACAAGGTCCTCTTGTCCTTTACTGCAGGCCCTGGCCTTGCCTTGTTTCGGGACAGTGCTTATCTCCACTGTTGCCTTTAAAAGTTATTTCTCTTCCCTTTTTTTCAGTGATTTCATTTTAGCTAGTCTTTCATCTTTTACTTTCAAAGGGGAAATAGAAACAAGAAGGAGCAGCTCATTTGGCAAAGTACTTGCACATACTCAGTCTGCAGAAACACTTGGGTTCGGTGAAATCGCCATTGACAGTGAGACCTCCTGCCTTGGGGCTAACCCGTGGGAGTGGTCCGCCACTCCAACACCAGTAAGAACACGGACTTTGTGAAATATTGGTTTTAATTTATAGATCCAACGGCCCTTCTCCTAAATGCTAAGAGAGGCGCTTCCGTGAGTAGTTTTAACCTTGGGGAAGCCCGAATAATCAATGCCTATATTTTTAGTTAAGAAACACACATAAATTTATTATTATTTTATCAAATAAATATTAACATTACACATCAAATTTGGAACTACTGGGAGATTGAAGTATTTCAGGTGGCATTTTCACCCCAAGTAACATGTCCCTTTGACTTTGCTGGAGACAAACTAAGACTTACCTTGATAAACAACCCACTTAACTTCCCCTTTGCCCCTGTCACGAAAGAGTGACGTCCGCCCCTTCTCACAGCTGTCCTTGTTGCGTGTGCTGATCTTTATCCAGCCAGACTCAAAGCGTAATAACCCCTTACGATTACATAGAAAGCAAATCATCTGAATCTTTTCTGATACCAGAAGAGTATATAGGTTACCAAAGAGTCTACGTAATGCTTATTAATGAATACACTGGATTTCTTTCTACAAGAAAATGAAAAACTTGTCTAGGGATTCTCTTGCGTCCCTTCCAAGTGTCACCAGAATGCCCACTGTACTGCCTGCTTTGTCATCCCAGTGCCAAAAGCTAGTGTCCATGACGCTTGGGCTCTGAACAGCTGTGGCCGCACCTGCTGCTGGGGGCGGGGCACCCAGGGAGGGCCCAGCTGTGGGGAAGACCCACATCACCTGGCGGTGGGGAGGCCCGGGCTGAGGGAAAACGTTTTCTGGAACATTTCAGTCATTCTTTCTGCTAACACAGTGCAATCAGTCAGGCCTTCCCCTCCCTGAGTCCCTTCCACCTTCCAGCCCACTGCAGTCTGGCCCTTCCCTGAACTCCACCCAGCAGACCAGCAGACCAGCAGAGCTCACTGCGCTCGCAGTTCACTGCTAAGTGCCAACTTCCGCACACAGATTTCAGTGCTCACCTCGTGTGACCCTGCATTTGCTCGACACTGGCCAGCCTTTTATGTGGTCATTTTTCTTCTTCTTTTTTTTTTTTGCTTCTGTGACCCCTTTCTTCAAGTGCAGTTCCCCAAAGTAATCGGGCTCCAATCGTAGGAGTTTTTATTACATGTGTTCTGTTTTTAATGACATCGATATCAACTATGTATGAATATTTTTCTCTTTTAGAGAATGCTGATAATGTCTTTTCATAAGGAAATGCTTTCTTCTTTGTTTTTTAAATTTTATTTAATTACTGTTCAAGTGTAGTTTTCTGTCTTATACTCCCATCCCAGCCCCCCCCCAGTGCTCCCCACCTCCCTCCCATTTCCCTCCCTTCCTGTC